GTGAATGAGATGATAGGTAGGGTGGGGATTGACTGTGAAGGGCCTTGAAAGTGAAGACATGCGGCTTATGTTTGATGCAACATAGACAAGGAGTCCATGAAGGGATTCAAAGAGAGAGTTGGAGCAGAGCGGTAGATCTGTGAATAGTCTACATACAGAGAGATGGTAGCTGAATTTGTGTTTGTGGATGAGATCACCTGGAGATAAGGTTGTGACGAAGTGGGACTGTTCTTAATGTTTCCTCTAAATACTGTGTGGGTGCCTGAGTTTCCCCTATGCATTTCTTAAGTCTTCAGTGTGCATAAATGGCCAACACTCTGTATCCTGGCAACAAATGGCTGGGGCCCTTCCCCACTGCAAGGGAATAGCTAAAGGTAAACAAAGAGATCAGGTGACCTCCTGGCCTGGAAAAAAGACAAAGGCCAAAAAGGAGGGGCTGGTGGGGGTTTCAGTTTGGAGCTGGCTGGGGACGGGAAGTGAGGGCAGACGGGGTTGTCTGGCTTGCTGGGCCCCAGAATGGACCCAGCTAAGTGGGCCTGTTCTCTGTACCTACAAGCTCTGTTTTAAACCGTGTTCCTGTCATTTAATAAACCTCTGTTTTACTGGCTGGCTAAATGTCATATCTGACTGTGAAGTTGGGGTGCATGCAGAACCCTCTGGCTTCCCCAGGACCCCGCCTGGGCGAACACGCTGTGGGGAAGCAGACAGAGGGGCATATGCTGAATGCTCCAGGAAGGTGAAGTCGTGTGAGCTTCTTGCCCTAAAGACAGTCTGCTCCGAGGGAGAGGAGGCTCCCCAAAGTCCTCACTGGCTTTGTGGGGAGCAGTTCCAAAGCATTGCCCGGCGACTGTGTAACAAAGGTGTAAAGGGAGACGAGAAGGGGACCAAGAACAGAGTCCTGTGGAACCCCCACAGAAAATTGGAGGGCAGATGAGAAGGGTAGTCTTAAGGACACACTGAAGGAGCAATTAGAGCTGAGATAGACTCAGAGAAGCCAAGGGAGGACAAGATTTCAAGAAGATTGATTGCGTGAAAGGCAGCTGACAGGTCAAGAGAATCAAGGATGGAGTACAGGTTCTTAGCTTTAGTTAGAAGTCATTAGAGCTTTTGGCAAGAGTGTTTTTCAGTGGAATGCAAGGGACAGAAGCCAGACTAGAGAGGGTCTAAAATGGAATTAAAGGAGAGGAACTCCAGATAGTGATAGTTTTGCCCCACTCCTTTTTTTTTTTCCCTTTCCACTCTTTCTAACTTCATTCTGGATTTATTTTTTTTAACCCATATATGCCTATAGCTCTGTATTTTTGTCCCCCTCCCCTTTGGCTGGTTTACTAGGATTGTATATGTTTTTGTATGTGAACCTTAAGTATAACAAATCACAATTTGTATACACTTGTTTTGCATTTCACTCATTTTAGGCAGTGAAACTAAACTGGAGAGTGAGTATTATATCTTGGTTCTCATGAACTAGCACTACACTATTGTGTTTGAGTTTTTAAACACAGTAGTGGAATATTTAAATGTAATAAAATTTTTCATTGAAATTTAAAAATGCTATTTCTATAAGTGTTTTGTAAAAGGTAGCTTTACAAAACTTAATTTGTATTAATGCATGAGCATTCTTTTCAGATAAATCATATTCCACATTGGTAAACATAATAGTTTAGGGCATACTGCATACTAATTTTCTTTAATTTTATTCTGTTAGTAACATTTAGAAAATGTGTTAGCAACAAGACAGATGCAAATGTCTCTAGAGCCTCTCTGAGACATTGATATAGTAGTGTATACTAGCTAGTGCAATAGTTCTTTCAATCTGTTATATATAGTCCTTCCTTCCTTCCTATCCCTCCCCACCTCCCACAGGGAACAACATAAAGGTTACTCCAAATTATACACAATGAACTAATAAATGGAGACTTAACATATATTTCTCTTTAAACTCGATAGGGAGTTAACAGGAGTTAAACTGAAAACTCAAGGAATTAGTTAAATATTTATAATATTTGTACCCATGATTTTTTCCATCTTTAATCTCAGTCCTTTTAGGCTGGCAATCACAATCAAACAACTTCAGATTCAGGTCTGAGTGTGGCACAGCAACATAAATATCTATCTTGGTGATGGAAGGCTTCTTAAATAAACTATAGCTTCTTCCTCTTCACAGAGGAATTATTGTAAAGTGGCTTTCAGCACAGACATCCAAACACTCTTGACTTCCAGTGGTGAGAGTAATGTAGCCCTTGTAATCTATAAATTACCATGGGTTTCAAATGCAGATTTAAGTCTAAAATGCAGCCGAGGCTGATCTCTGACACAAGCTGGAGAAAGACAGCCTCCACTTCTGCTGCCCTGGGCCCAGCACATGCAAGGGCCCGAGTCCTGACACAGCCCCGGACTCTGTCTGATCCCCTGGGCCCAGCACCAGCCTTTACAAATGGTGGCTTCAAATCTCAATCTCTCTCCTCCAGACTGGTGATGATATAAGGAAAATTTAATCAATCACTCAGAGGTTGTGTGAAAATGCTGAGAAGCCTCCCAGCTAGCTCCCAGGCTGCTCCCTGTCTTCCCCATCCCATCCCCATCTGCCAACCAGAGGCTGCTCCCCATCTTTCCCCATCCCATGCCCCATCCTTTGGGCTCCTCCCCCTCCTCCCACCTCCCATCCCCATCCGCCCCCCCCCAGCTGCCCCCCCCCCACCCCCTCGCTGCTCCCCACCTTCCCCCCCCCCCCCCCCCCCCCGGCTGCTCCCTGTCTTCCCCCATTTCGTCCCATTCCCCTCTGCCATCCCCTGGCTGCTCCCGCTCCACTCCCTGGCTGCTCCCTGTCTTTCCCCATCCATCACCCCCCTGGCTGCTCCCTGTCTTCCCCCATTTCGTCCCATCCCCCTCTGCCACCCTCTCGCTACTCCCCCTCCACTCCCTAGCTGCTCCCCATCTTTCCCCATCCACCACTCTCCGGCTGCTCCCCGTCTTCCCCCATCCCCATCTGTCACACCCCCCCCCGACGGATGCTCCCCTCTATCCCCCAGCCCATCCCCAGCTTTCATTCCCCCGGCTGCTCCCCCTCCATCATCCGGCTGCTCCTACTTGCCTCATCCACCACTCCCGGGTTGCTTCCCCTCTACTCCCCATCTTCCCCCCCCCCATCTGCCCCCCCCCCCCCGCTGCTCCCCCACTTCCCTCCTCCCCTTGCGGCTGCTCTGCATCTTCCCCCCGCCCAGCCCTCTCTGCTGCCACCTCCCCCCCGACTCTCTCCCGCCACCGCCCCGTCTTCCCCGTCCCATCCCCGCATCTGCCAACCCGCGGGCTGCTCCGCCTCCTCCCCTTCAGCGCCTCCCAGGCCTCGGAGGCACAATCCCCCTCCCGCCCTTAACCTCGGGTATGGGCACAATATGGGCGCCGATGCTGGGAGACTTCAATTTCCTAACGCGCATGTGCAAACAGTTGGCACGTGCGCATTCAGGGGACCATAGGAGCAAGGTGCGCCTGCGCAACGGCAGGCGCTCGGTTCGGAGTCAGTGCCCGGCAAGGCAGCGTGTCGGGTTGGGGTGAGTGTCCGGCGCTGGCTGCTGGCGGACGGCTCGGGGGCCGGGAGTGCGCGTGCATCCTGCCTGGGCCCCGGCTCAATGAGCGGGGCGGTGACCTGGAGCCCGCATCAGCGGGGGGCCGGGCCTGGGTCGGGAGGGGAGCGTCAGGGCTGCCCCGACACCGAAGGAGCCAGAAGGGGAGGGGCAGGATCCTCCCGAACGCAGCCGTGTCCTGGGGGCGGATGGGCGAGGGGCCCCCACGTCCTGGCGCAGCTGGGGCCAGGCTCGGAGTGAGGGGGGAGCTGTGGGGCGAAGTCCTGGCGCGCAGGGGCACGGAGCGTGGGGTTGCCCGTTCCAGGCGCTTTCCGCTGGCTGTTGGGCTGAAGTGTTGGCAGAGTTGAGGGATGTTTACATGCAAACTCCGCCCCCCCCTTAGTGCTGGGGGTGTGGGTCTGGGCGGGGTTGCTACCTGCTGCAAAGGTGTGGGGGATAATGGCTACAGCCAGGTGCCCCTGCGATTTCTATCTGCCCTGACAATGACAGGGTGCTGGCGGGAGCAGAGGTACACGGTTGAATTCCTTCCCCTGAAATTGAGGGGGATAGTATATCTGTGGCATTGGTAAAGTAGCCGCCTACCTCAAAGCTTGCAGCAAAGTCTTGCTATGCAGGGTCGGTTGTTTGGTGAGTCCTGGGCCTATTCTGAATCCTGTGTGGAGTATAATGTAGTGCCTTTGGGAGGTGGCAAAATAAGGTGATTGTATTGTCCTCATGCACTAATGCGATGACAGGACCTGGCAGCACAAATAGTGTGATGTCAAGATGCACTTTCACACAATGATATTGTTTTTTTTCATGCTGAAGAAATGGGTGGCAAACCTTGAGAATCAGGACTATTTGGTTCTCCCCTTCCAGTCCAAGAACAGGGATGCTGTTCTTTTTTCTTTCATTGTACAATATGCTTAAAAAGATTTGCCTCCCATGGGTATTTTAATGTTTGTAAAGCACTTGGTGTACCATCTTTACATTGATAACTCACAGGTCTACGTCTCAGCTAATGAGGTATCTTGCTTCATCTAGTCCTATCTCAGCTTGTTTTTCTGACATCTCTTCCTTGATGTCCAGTCATCATTTTAAATTTTGTCTTTTTTCTCAGGTTCTCCCATCTGGCCATTTTCTTTATCAGAGTAGACAACACCGCTATTCTCTCTGTCACTCAGGTAGTGTAGCTTTTAGGTGTCATCTTTGACTGGGCCATTGTGTTTTTTATCTTGCTTAAAAAAAAAATCTTTAAAATCTACCCCCCCCCCCCCCAGTAAGTGAAGACTCATGAAACCCTCATCCTGACTTGACTGCTGTAACTTTTGCTTTCCTCCAGTCTATTCAGATTAAAGATCATTTTTCTGGTTCACCGTTCTGATCACGTTGAATCCCTCTTTGAGGTGTCTACCTGCTCCCCATTGACTTCCACATCAAATATATAAGTTTCTTATTGTTACCTTTTAAGTCTCTTCATAACTTAGCCCCATCTCCTAACTGATTTAGTAACCTATTATGATGTCAGCCCCTGCCTTTACTCTGCAAGTGTTCCCATCCCTTATCACCAGCCAATCAGCTGCTTGCTTAAACACCTCTATGCTTGCTGCCATGCTGCCCCTTATGCTTAAGGAAAACTCCCTGATGAATATCTGAAGAGCCACTATTTTATCCTTCATATCCTTCTTTAAGGCTGGTCTCTGCTGTGATGCTTACTAATCTCATCTTGCTAATCATGGCTAAGCAGATGATCAGCTGAGACTAATTTCTTTTCTTTCCTTTCTCTACTCCTTTACTTCCTATCTTTACCCTCAAAAAATAAAGTAAAAACCAACTGCAATCCATGTAACTAGCAAAGTTGTGACAGCATATTCATTGCTCATTTGTTGTATCCACCCCTGCCCTTTTGTTTGTGTCTTTAAGTTGTAAACCTTCGAGAGCAGGTATTCTCTTTTTTGTTTCTATTTCTGTATAATGCCCAGTACTATTGGGCTTCAGTCCTGAATGAGGTCTTTGGGTTCTACCGTCATATAAGTAACTAATCATCATTGCCATTGGTTACAAAGTCTGATTGTAAGAAGAGATTGTCACCTCTTATTTAGTTTACTTTTATTTCTCCACATATGGAAAAAATAATATTTTATTTTCCAGGTCATCGCTTTGATCCTTCTTGCCTCTTGGAAGGTGACATGCAAATGCAGTTGGATGACTGATGACAGAAACTTGAATCAAAATGCCTAATTTCGAACATCCAGAGTATCCCGAAGCTACCTTGCTTCACCTGGAAAGTATGGTGCCCTGTCGAGAATCCCAAGTGTCATCACTGTTGTCAATATTTGGAGAGGTAGCTCTTTCTATATTGTGTATTTGGGTAGATTTATAGATGTTCTACTAAGATGTTTGTTTTTACGGACAGGCTGAAAACAAACTTAAATGTATTATTACTCTGAGCTAGGCTAGCTGTTTACATTGTAATTTGAGATCTTGTTTGATAAACTTGGAAACACAAGATCCTCTAGCTGCTGTAAGCAAGGGGGAGCTTTATAGCTATTTTTCCACTCCTGGCTGCTGTTAGTTGGCTTTCCAGTACCAGTCATTCTTAGCTGCTGTGAGGTGTGATAGGAAAGATCCTTGCCTCTCTACTCTGCTCACAACTCATCTTTTCTTGGGTGGTCCTCCCGTATGGGTAACTCTGGTACCTGTCTCTGTTGTTGTGCCGGTAGCTTTCCCAACAGAAACAACATGAAACGTGACTCTTGATAATTTCATTGCTGCCCATAAGGCTCTGGAATAGCTGCTATAAAACTGACCAGAGACGTGTTAATTTTTACTGTACTGGTGCTTGGCAAAGCTATTGCAGTGGCGAAGGCAATGGAGCTGTTTATCTGCAGACTCTGGGAAGGCAGCATGGTATCAATTTACATTTATTTAACAATATGTAAATTGATGTTGATAGTTTATCTGGTACTGCATTTGATTTTTACAAGGTGTAGTATATTTATAAAGCTTAAATACTGGATTTTGATGTATTTATTATAGCTATAAAGGCTGGAAGCTTAATTTGTTTTTAAACAAAAGCTTAAATTCTGCAGAATCTTTATGGCTTAGGCTGTCCCCATACTTTCCAGGGTAAACTTCCTGCTTGCCTCTGGAGAGTGAATTTTTCAAGCATTACCTTCAGAACATATTGAAGACTTACCTTTACTCAGGCACTTGTTTTGAAGTCATGATCTGAGTGCATTTAGTTTTTGTTATTCAGAAGATGTTTTCTCTGTTAACTTTGTCAGTTTGGGTGTCTTAGTTAATTTTAAAAAAATATGTACAGCTGCCTTAAAGCTACAATGGGCACATTTTGACAAAAAATAAATACAGTTCATTCTGAAGATATATTTTCTTCCAGTCTTTCCCCTCTAATCTCAATTCTCTCATTTTTATTTTATTTTTTTAGTTTCTCCGCACTTCCTCCTTTTCATTCAATTAAACTGCTTTGGGTTATCCTTTTTAATCATAGGGACATAGGTTTTAACAGGAAGGTAAAATTTTCAAAGCATGTAAGTGACTTAGGCTCCTAAGATACTTATGGTTTGGGTAAAATTTTAAATATCAGGAGCTGCGAAAATGGCTACTCAGGCTTTGGGAAACAATGGAAGAGCTTCAGATATTAATTTTTATTAGCCCTTAAAATGATTTATAATTTGATAAAGTTTACCTTGAGAAATATTGCATGAATACTGGGTAACAACCATGGTTTTAGGTATTATGGGTGAGGAGGCTTGCCCCCCTCTCTGTCCTTCTCTCTCTCCTCCCATGTTCTAATATCTTCTGTCTTAGCCCTTTTGTAACTTGTATTTATCACTACGTAATTTGAGAAATTACACTATTTTTTTAAGTTGTAAGCCTAAATTAACTGCTTTCCATTATAGAAAATATCAGGAGGGTGGAAGTTGATATTCAGCTTTTTGAGTCTAAAAGAGAGTGTATCTACACTGCCAAAAAAAACCCAAAATGCATAGTAAGACTCAGAGCCTGGGTCTACAGACTTGGACTCGTGCTACAGTGCTAAAAATTAAAGTGCAGACTTTCCTGCTTGGGCTCTGCAACCTGGGAAAGGGATAGGTCTCAGGACCTGAGCTCCGGCACAACCGGGAACATCTAAACTGCTATTCCTCATCATTGGAGATTTTTAAGAGCAGGTTAGACAAACACCTGTCAGGGATGGTCTAGATCAGGGGTCTCAAACTCAAATGATCACGAGGGCCACATGAGGACTAGTACATTGGCCCGAGGGCCGCATTACTGACACCTTCCCCCCACCCCCCGCGCCCGCCGCCCTCCAACCCTTCCATGAGGCCCCACCTCTTCCAACCCCTTCCCCGAAATCCTCACCCCAACTCCGCCCCCTCCCTGCCCCCAGGGGGGGCAGGAGGGGTGTGGGGTGTGGCAGGGAGTTGAGGTGTGGGGTGCAGGACAGGGCTCAGGGCAGGAGGGGTGTGGGGTGTAGCAGGGGCTCAGGGTGCAGCAGGGGGCTCAGGGCAGTTGGGATGCAGGAAGGGTGTGAGGTGCGTCAGGCGGCTCGGGGCAGGGGGTTGGGGGGCAGGGGGTCGGGGTGCAGGGTACGGCAGGGGGTCAGGGTGTGGCAGGGGGCTCAGGGCAGTGGGTCGGGGTGTGGCAAGGGGTCGGGGTGCAGGGTGTGGCAAGGGGCTCAGGGCAGGGGGTTCGGCTGCAGGAGGGGTTCGGGGGGCGGGCTCTGGCCCGGCACGCACCGGGGGCAGGGCAGGCTCCCTGCCTGCCCTGCCCCCCCCCGCACCGCTCCAGGATGTGTGTATTGCTGTTGCTTCAGGCACCGCCCCCAGCATCTCCCATTGACTGGGAACGGGGATCCGTGGCCAATGGGAGCTGCTGGGGGCAGTGCCTGAAGCAACATCAACACACACACCAATGTGCCCCACCCTTCCCCACGTTCAGTCCGCTTCCCGGCGTGGGGGCAGGGCAGGCAGGCAGGGAGCCTGCCCTGCCCCCGGTGCGCGTCGGGCCGGAGCCGCTCTAGGTAAACGCTGGGGGAGGACAGGGGTGGGGTAGGAGACGTGAGGAGCTTGCGGGCCGCAGAAAATTACCTCACGGGCTGCATGCAGCCCACGGGCCGCGTGTTTGAGACCCCTTGTCTAGATAATAATTAGTCCTGCCTTTAGTGCAGGGGACTGGACTAGATGACTTACTGAGGTCCCTTCCAGTCGTACACATCTATGATTCTATGATTTTTAGTGCTGTAGTATGAGCCTGAGGCTGTAGATCTTGTTTTTTGCATTGTAGATGTACCCTTAAAGGACTAGAGTCTGATATCTTTACACATGTTGAATAGTACTCTGCAATTAGTGCCATCATTATCAGTGGGACATCTTGACAAGTAAGCTACTACTCAACGTGAGTAAGGGTGGCAGAATCCAGAACACTTTTTTGTCCCTAGAGAAGACGTGAGCTAACTCAGGTTAGCTAACTTGAGTTAAAATCCCAGTTGTCATTTTCTTATGAGTTAACAGATTGAAGTAAAGCCAACAAACTACCTTGTCTTCACTAGAATTTTACCTCAGTTTAGCTAACTTGAGTTAAGAACACACCCTTTGCCTAATGAAGAGACAGCCTTAATGATCTGGGAGTTTCAGTGGTGGCTTTAGGGCCTTTTTTGAACCCTGCTCTCAGGTTTGGAGGACCATAGAATCAAAGTGAGAAAATACCATGTTGCATCTTAATTGGAGTGTTCTGTATTTGAGTCTCTTAATTTAAAACAAGGTTTTCCTCTGGCAGCAAACTAGATGAGCCAAAGTTCTCTAAATCTCAGAAATAAAGAGAATGTTAGGTATTAAAATTTTTAAACTTTTTTTCTAGCGTCAACATTTTAGCTTCCCATCCATCTTTATCTATGGACATACCTCTAGTGGCAAGACCTATGTGATGCAAACTCTTCTGGAAACATTAGAGGTAAGAATAAATTCTTACGGTATTCATAAAACACTTTGAGCCAATGAGGAATTAAAAAAAGTTCCCAAACTAGCTACTTTAAATTTGATGGAGAATTGCAAGAACAATTTATTTTGCTCCTATTTCTTGCCTGTTATTCTTACAGTATCTCTTCCATTTATTGCTTGATTGTCACATAAAACACCTTCTTTCTCATCAAGGATGCTGCACAACATAATGCAAATTAAAATAGAATAAACTCATAAAATTCAAAATTGATAAAAGGAAATGTTCTGGAGTTGGTGGGTCCAGTACAGAAAGATGGGTGAATGGTCGTTAATAAAGGGCCAGTGTTGATCATAAGCCTGGCTTGAAATTAAAAAAAACAATAAGCAAACAAAAATACACCTCTACCCCGATATAATGCTGTCCTCAGGAGCCAAAAAATCTTACCGCGTTATAGGTGAAACCGCGTTATATCAAACTTGCTTTGATCCGCCGGAGTGCGCAGCCCTGCCCCGCCCCCGAGCACTGCTTTACTGTGTTATATCTGAATTAGTGTTATATTGGGTCGCGTTATATCAGGGTAGAGGTGTACTTGGATTTGTGTGTGGTTTTTTTTTTTTTTTTTTTTTTAATTGGGGAGTGGTAAACTAAGATGGCTGTCTGGACTAATTGCAACAAAGACATTACTCATTGATTGAGCTGAGATTCACCTTTCAATCCATTTTATTTGCATATAAAACTGTATTTGTATGCATGCTACAAATACTAATCCCAAAATGCTATTGGTTGTTGGCTATTTGTATTACAATGATGCCTAGAAGTCCTGATCATGTTCAAAGCACCATTTCATTAGGTCCTGTACAGTATTTGAGTAACAAATTAATCATCTGGTAATCAGAAATGCATCATCATTCACCATTTTCTAACATTATTTACAAAAGTAAAAATTAAGAATCTGAATAACTCATGTGCGAAGCCATATAATTGCTTAAATAAATATAAATGGGGGGTGGGGGAATATCCTCCTGGTTAGCAAAATGAAGTACCAAAATATACCAACTAAAGTGAATGATTCTCTCTCTAGGAAAATTTCTAAAGTACAAATGCAAAACAAGATTAAAATAAATAATTTAAATCAAGTTTTCCTGTTCACTGATTTAATTCATTATTAAAATTAGGGCTGTCAAGCAATTTAAAAAAAAAACAATTAAAAAATTAATCACAATTAATCACACTATTAAACAATAGAATACCCATTTATATAAATATTTTTAGATGTTTTCCTCATTTTCAAATATATTAATTTCAATTACAACACAGACTACAAAGTGTGCAGTGCTCACTTTATATTTTTTATTTGAACTGTAAAAACAAAAGAAATAGTATTTTTCAATTCACTTAATACAAGTACTGTAGTGCAATCTCTTTATCATGAAAGTTGAACTTACAGTTGTAGAATTATGTACAAAAAATAACTGCATTCAAAAATAAAACAATGTAAAACTTTAGAGCCTACAAGTCCACTCAGCCCTACTTCTTGTTCAGCCAATCACTAAGACAAACAAGTTTGTTTACATTTGCAGGAGATAATGCTGCCCGCTTCTTGTTTACAATGTTACCTGAAAGTGAGAACAGGCGTTTGCATGGCACTGCTATAACTGGCTGTCAAGGCTGTATCCCCACTTTGAACTTTAGGGTACAAATGTAGGGGCCTGCATGAAAACTTCTAAGCTTAACTACCAGCTTAGCTCTGGTCCCGCTGCCATCATTCTCAATGGATTCCCTCCCTGGGAAGCCTTGAGAAACCTCTCACCAATTCTCTGGTGAATACAGATCCAAACTCCTTGGATCTTAAACAAGGAGAAATTGACCCTTCCCCCCTCCTTCCTTTCACCAACTCCTGGTGAATACAGATCCAAACCCCCTTGGATCTTAAAACAAGGAGAAATCAATCAGGTTTTTAAAAAGAAGGCTTTTAATTAAAGAAAAAGGTAAAAATCATCTCTCTAAAATCAGTATGGAAAATAACTTTACAGGGTAATCAAACTTAAAGAGCTCAGAGGACCCCCCTCTGTCTTAAGTTCAAAGTACAGCAAACAAAGATAAACACTCTGGTAAAAGGTACATTTACAAGTTGAGAAAACAAAGTAAAACTAAGACGCCTTGCCTGGCTTTTTTACTTACAAGTTTGAAATATGAGATACTTGTTTAGAAAGATGGGGAGAACCTGGATTGATGTCTGGTCCCTCTCAGTCCCAAGAGCGAACAACCCCTTAAACAAAGGGCACAAAACAAAAGCCTTTCCCCCCCAAGATTTGAAAGTATCTTGTCCCCTTATTGGTCAGGTGTCAGCCAGGTTACCCGAGCTTCTTAACCCTTTACAGGTAAAAGGATTTGGAGTCTCTGTACACAGGAGAGCTGTTACCCTTCCCTTTATAGTTATGACACTGGCATTGCAAGATATTTACGTGCCAGATGCACTAAAGATTCATATGTCCCTTCATGCTTCAACCATTATTCCAGAGGATGCGTCCATGCTGATGACAGGTTCTGCTCGATAACGATCCAAAGCAATGCAGATTGATGCATGTTCATTTCCATCATCTGAGTCAGATGCCACCAGCAGAAGGTTGATTTTCTTTTTTGGTGGTTCAGGTTCTATAGTTTCCTCATCGGAGTGTTGCTCTTTTAAGACTTCTGAAAGCATGCTCCACACACCCCATCCCTCTAAGATTTTGGAAAGCACTTCCGATTCTTAAACCTTGGGTCGAGTGCTGTTGCTATCTTTAGAAGTCTCACATTGGTACCGTCTTTGCATTTTGTCACATCTGCAGTGAAAGTGTTCATACAACGAACATCATGCTTGGTCATCATCTGAGACTGCTATAACATGAAATATATGGCAGAATGCGGGTAAAACACAGAGCAGGAGACATATAATTCATGGAAGCATGTCCTCTGGAATAGTGGCCAAAGTATGAAGTGGCATACGAATGGTTAGCATATCTGGCACGTAAATACCTTGCAGTGATGGCTACAAAAGTGCCATGTTAATGTCTGTTCTCCCTTTCAGGCGACATTTTAAATAAGAAGCGGGCAGCATTATCTCTCTTAAATGTAAACAAACTTGTTTGTCTTAGTGAATGGCTGAACAAGAAGTCGGACTGAGTGGACTTGTAGGCTCTAAAGTTTTACATTGTTTTATTTTTAAGTTCAGTTATGTAACAAAATCTATATTTGTAAGTTGGGCATTCACGATAAAGAGATTGCACTACAGTACTTGTTATGAGGTCAACTGAAAAATACTATTCATCCTTTTTTTACAGTGCAAATATTTGTAATAAAAATAATAGAGAGATCACTGTATACTTTGTATTATGTGTGGTAATTGAAATTAATACATTTGAAAATGTGGAAAAACATCCAAAATATTTAATAAATTTCAATTGGTATTCTCTTTAACAGTGCTAATAAAACTGTGATTAATCACAATTAATTTTTTTTAGTTAATCGCGTGAGTTAACTGTGATTAATGAACAGTCCTAATTAAAATTGATGGTTTTAATCCCGTAGATTTAAATCAGTGTGCCCTGATGTGCAGTTACACTGGTTAGCTATGTGCACAGCTAGCAGAGTGAGTCAGGATGATTTTTTTTTTTAAATTAACTAAATGTCTTGAAGCCCTATTGGCCATGTTGTTCACTGATTTATGGGACAATACAAAATATGGAGCATATTGACTTCAATAATGTTGTAATCTAAATTATGATGAATTGTATCATTATAAACCTTCAGTTTTGGGTTTCAAATATTATTTCCTGTTTGAATATGGAATTCAGTATTAGTTGGATGTTAAAATTTAAGGTAGATGTAGACCTCTTGCAAGATAGCAGATGTATAAAGCTTAAATACTGGACCTTGATGTATTTATTTAACTTCCCAATAGACTGCCATAATTGAAAGCTCATTTTGCAAACCTGCTGTCGTGAGTTAATAAGCATGTTTAAGGTTTGATTTGAGCAATGTGATAAGGTAAATAAGATGTCATATAAAATGAGCTTTGAGAATCTTGGAGCTAGGCCAACCTAACTTTGTCCACCCTGTTGGCTTCTTTTATTGATTCCCCTCTTCCTTTACGTGACTTTTTTTTTTGTTTTGTTTTGTTTTTTGTTTGGCTAAAAATTGCATCCTGTTTGCGCACTTAACCACGTGAATTTTTGTTGCATTGTTGGTGGTTCCTGAGCAGCCGCAGCCCCTCTCCCTTTAATTGGTTAACTGGTTAAATGATATAATTTTAATAGTTTAAACAGTTATCTTTTTAAAACTATATTTACATCCCTAGTTAGGAAAGTCCAAGAGAAGGCCTCTGTCTAGGTATACTCCTGACGTGGACAAAGTTTTTTGTATACGTAACCATTACATCCTTGTGGGTGTCTCCATACGTGAGGGACTTAGAACATGTTCCATTAGGTCCAAAGTAGCCTCTACAGATAGTCTGAAGAATATCTATGTTGCCAAGTTACTCAGGATGGCCATGCTGAATTGAAACCATACACTTAGATATCAGTCACTTGACATGACAACTAGATTTTTGTGCAGCTTGCGAGAACAGTTCTTTAAATTGTCTTAAACAAATTCTCCTTTGAGTAGTGGTTACTGCTACTTAATCTCCCATGAGTGAGGCTCTTCTTTACAGTACTCTAAAAAGGAAATAAGGATGCTTCCTACTAAACATTGTTTGACTAGATTGTCAGCATGTATCCACACTTTCCCAGATCCACTGAGCCTTTGATGTGGGTTCTAATGAAGTGGAACGACTGTAATGAGCTCAGTACGGGGGCTTCTATATATAACCTTGCATGAGAGGTTTGGTTCTGCAAGGAATGTGTGTGTCCTAGTGACTACTGCTTTCCAGAAGGTTTTGATATTCAGTGAAGAAGAACAACATATGTTTCTTGAACCTATTTTAAGAGCTACAATTGCTACATAAGTAACCTTTCTTTCCTTATGTACATGTGAGTGACAGAATAATAAAAATGGAATCAATGTTGTTGTTCCATTAAGGCAGATAACCTTAGCTTTTGAACATTAAAAAGATACTGCCAAAATTGACAGGCCTGAAATTTTACTTAGAAGTAGCAGTAAAATCACCCCTTTCTTTTTTTCTTATTTTAAAGCTGTTTTTAGTGCTGAGATCTACCCCCCCCCCCCAAGTAATGGCTGAAGCAGTGGAAGAAGTCACAAAACTTGAACTCTTCTGCTGTAAACAAAATAAGGAGAGCTCTGGGTTTTCATACAATTAGGGGCATGTGTTCCGGTGAAGTTTGTACATAGATCGTGCTCTCTCTCTAATTGGTCAGTTTCATTCCTCTGACCAGTCATGGAGTCTGGGTGGATTGATTTAAATTGTCAAGTGCAAAGCCTCAATTTAAATTTGTTTTAATCAGCTTTTCCATTTGCACTTCAGTTATTTTCTAAAGAGAGGTGCATTCTCATTGGTTGATATAACCATGTTGTTTTACAACCAAATAGGGCCTTAACACTACATTTGGTACTTCTTTTTGCTACCTAGGAGGGTATGCTGTAATTGTGTACATTTATTTAACAAGTTATATATCTTAATATTTTCAGTCTTATTAATTGCACATTTTAGTATGTTAGAAAATGGTGAATGATTTATTGCTTATTTACTAGATAATTAACTTTTTGCGCATGATTTGTGTCAAGCTGCATTAGGATGGTAAATGGAGTTTAATTAAACACACAACAGCATATAAAACTTTTTTTTTTATTAAACAAAACCTTAAGTTTTGGATACATAAACTTCTCTAGTCAAAATATGTTTCACATTTACAACTAAATGATTTATTAAACAGAGGGATTAATGGTAGTCAGTGAATTAAACTGATTATTTCAGGTCAGCCTAGAAAAATAATATACCTAATAGGCTGACCTATTGTGCTACATTTATGAAGCTTGGCTATAAAAGTTAGATGTTTTCCCCCTGATTCTTTCTTTATATAGAAAAGCAGTCTTCAACTCAGTTTTTCATAAAGGCTCGTGGATTCAGAATATTTTATTTTTTATTTAAATGTTTTAAGAAATAAGTTTAGGCCTTTACATATTTTGTTTTAAATTCACATTTGATTTTAAACAGGCTTATTTTTTAAAATAACTTGTTATGATTTTTTTATTTTGTTATTTAAAGTATCATTTTTATAATCCACTCTGAAAGGAGTTAAATATGCAAACAACCTTACGGAAATAAGAATCTTATGTATTTCAATGCTTTGACTACACAGGACTTAGCACACAGAAGAAGTAAGAGTTGTGTACTGTGTTCACACAGACCTGCAACCCAAAACAAACTGATAAATCTAAATTGTAGTATAACAGCCTTGAAACATCAATATAAATAATGCTGTAAGGTGATCTCAGGGCTTCTGTTAATGAAAAGTGTTGCAGAAATTGATTTGAGAAATGAAGTGAGGAGATGGGAACCTGAAATAGTGAAGCACAGTTTTTGCCACAGTAAAAGCTCATGGCAGGAATGTATTTGAATACACATCATGCTATATGTAATGCTTCCAATCATCAGCTCATTTTCACAGATAAATCATCGGTGCATGCTCCTGACAGTGCATTGGAAGTATATATCAACATCTTGTCTCAAGAGTGTATGTGGAAGTTGCATATTTTTTTCCTATTTAAACTAATTCCTAAATTTTTTTTTTTTTGTTTTTTTTTTTTTACATGAAACTTTACTGTTGAATGGAAGTCTGAGGCCCAGCCTGAGTCAGATGCTTTTGACCCAGTAATGTGTAATATATTTTTGATCAAAAACTTTTTTAATCTATCTTTGTTTTTCTTGAGTTATTCTGAAGAGAGGGGTTTTTAAACATAAACATAATTTACACTGAATATTTCATATTAGTAACTCTGTCACAAGATAATATGGTTAAAAATCTATTTACTTGCCCTTTGTGGTATGTAAAATTTTGAATTGCTACAAATATGATAATCCATTATTGATCATATTTCTGTAAATACTGGGTCCTGCTGATGGCGATGCAGTTTATTCCTATGTCTGTTTTTGGGAGCAAAGAAATTAGAATATTGAGCTCTGATTTTTAACCATTTGGATTATTTTTTATCATTTGTATTTCTTTCAATATAACTAAATTAGATTGTCTGTCTTTTTTCTCATTTTTTAGCTTCCTCATGTGTTTGTGAACTGTGTTGAATGCTTTACTTCAAGGCTGCTTTTAGAGGAAATTTTGACCCAGTTGCAGAGCCTTTCATCTGAAAATAAACACGGTTCTCATGTGCCCTGTGACACGTTTAATGACTTTGTACGTCTGTTTAAGCAAGAAATTATTACTCAAGATCTACAGAATCAAACAGTATATATTGTAAGTAATTTAACTTGCATGTTTCTCCTATTTTTATTTTGTTTAAATGTATTTATCAGAGTTCCTTTATGTATGAAAATATAGGTGTTGCTCATCAATTTACATAGGATTTCTGTATTGTACTGTATGAGCCTGATTCAAAGATCATTGAAATTAATGAAATTCTTTCCGTTGATTTCATTGGGGTTTGCTCAGGCTCTATATGCCTACTTTTATAAAACCATTCACATGCAAATACTAATAGTAGATCGTGCTAAATAGTTAACTAAGCAACATTTTAACAAAGGTTGCCAGTCGAGAAAACTGAGTTGATTTATAATTAGGTAGAGAGTGAACCTCACAAATCTCTTTTGGGAGATAGTTCTACTAGAGAGAAACCGAATAGGGGAAGCTACATGTGGAGTACCCAAGTGGAGAGGGTAGCTAGGCTAGCACAGGTTTAATCTAGAGGTCATGCTGATTGGTTCCCTTTATAAAAGGGCTGCTGAACTCTCTTCAGTAGCAAGATTTAAAACTCAATTCTTACCTGTAAAGGCAGCCAGTGTGGAGAAAAGTTAACTTGACAAAATTTTGTAGATCATGTGAACAGTGGGTGGAGGAAGAAGTCCAGCAGAAATACTATAGTTGTATTCCAAGTGAAAAATAATGCATAAAGCATAATTGTAGTAGCAGAGAACTTGAAATAATATAAATAGTGGACACACTCTCCAGAATGTATTTTCTTTGGGGGAAAAGGAACTAAAGATTTGTTAAAGGAGGCTGAATTGACCATGTGACTAAAATTGAAGGTGTTCAAATTGCAAGTTTGATGCCACTGGAAGACTTTTTTTTAAAATATTCCCTCTAGCCAGTTGAGTGTGGTGTTTTGCCTTACTTGAAGTCAAGTAAGGAAGAAGTAAATAAGCATGTTTAAACATCTTCTTCAGGTAATTTTGCAGGCACAGCTAAATGTTTTATATTTTTTCAAAATAGATACAGTATTGAGTTGATGAAGTTCATATTCTGTTTAGTGACTGCATTAATATCTTGTAACTTTATACAGGAGTGTTTTGAATAAAGTTTGAATATTTAAAGAACATGGAAGGTTAGAACTTTTTTAATAGGTAGTTACAAAAGTAAAACAAATATTCTTAAATATGATTGTAAGATTGAAATAATGTTCCAGGGAATTTTACAAAACACCATTGCTTTCATATTGGTATATGACTTAGAGAGGGGAAAATACTTGATTTTAAATATCCGTAGGAACATTTTACTTTTTATTTAGCGTTACTGTCCCTCGGAATATTAGAAGTTACTTGAAAATTGATGTTGGAAGACAGGGCATTAAATACTGTGAAATGATCAATTGTATTGGGTAAAATGTTGCTAGATGAGAAGAATTAAGTGTTAAATTAGCGTGTTTCAACTCTGTTGTTCATGGAAACAGACAGGAATTGGGGCAGAAATCAATTTATGGGAATTAACCTGTCTCCTCTGGATTTATTAAAGGATGGTTTAAATTGAGATTGATGACAGAACTGTATACTGGTAGCATAAACTGGCAAAACTAATTTTATTCTATTTCATTTCTGGGGTAAATAATTTAAAATATTTCAGCCCTCATTAAGTCAGAGAAAATTAAGATAAATGGTTGCTCTCAATCAAAGACTTCTAAATGTTTTTTAATCCAAGAACAGGTACTGAGCATGAAGACAAAATGATTTGTTCTACCTATTTGAAAGATGGTGCTGATATGACTTGTATTTATTCTTACATTTAGAATTAGTGTTGTTCTTTAATGTGTTTTAACAATGAAATTGTAGAAACATTTAAAAAAAAAAAAAAAGCTAAAACATCTAGCAAAAGTTATTCTATATTGCTTACTGGTTGGCTTCATAACATCTGCATTTATAGGCTTGCTGTTGGTACTTGAGTGTGTGGGTGATGAGCCACTAGAGGTGCACCAACAACTACACCTCTACCTCGATATAACGGAGCCAAAAAATCTTACTGCGTTATAGGTGAAACTGCATTATATAGAACTTGCTTTGATCTGCCAGAGTGCGCAGCCCCGCCCTCCTGGAGCACTGCTTTACTGCGTTATATCAGAATTCGTGTTATATCGGTTCGCCTTATATCGGGGTAGAGATGTACTAGCATACAACTGGCTATGTCATCACTATATATTATCTGTTACAAAAAAACCTAGTCTGATGTGTTGATCTGTTTTTTTGTGTACTACTGTGCCAGAAAAAAATAAGTTTGAAGAGGGAATCTCTTCAGTATAATAGACAATGATTAATATTTTCATTAATAGTTTAGTAAGGGCTGGTCCACACTACCCGCCTAATTCGGCGGGTAGAAATCGATCTTCTGGGATCGATTTATCACGTCTCATCTGGACGCGATAGATCGATCCCAGAAGCGCTCCCCCGTCAACTGCGGAACTCCCGCTCGCCGAGAGGAGGAAGCGCTGTCGACGGGGGAGCCTGCCTGAGCCGTGTGGACCCGAAGTAAGTACTCTTAGTTTGATATAGGAAACGTCGACTTCAGCTACGCTATTCTCGTAGCTGAAGTTGCGTTTCCTATATCGATCCACCGCCCCAGTGTGGACCAGCCCTAAGTCAGTTTGGGATGTTAGCCTTTGGGTATGTATTATGGTGCAGAGGGGCCATATAGAAAGTGACTTGGAGATTCATTTATATATCTTTTCAGTGACTGGACCCTAGCTGTGCATTGTTAGAAGCTATACATCGCTTAGTCATAATTGAAAAAGCCAAATCAACCAATTTGGACATGGATTTGGACAAAGGCATTCCAATTTGTTTGCTTCCCACTTTATTATTTTGTATTACAGTGGGACCTAGGAGCCCTGGTCATTGACCAGGAACCTATTGCACTAGGCACTGTACAAACATGGAACAAAAAGCTGGTCCCTGCTCAAAGGAGCTTACAATCTAAGTATAGGACAAGAGACACATGGATATAGACAGCTGGGGGAGTACAAATAAACAATGAGACAGTGTTGGTTAACATGATATGCCATGGTCTCTTTACACTAGCAGCCTATGGAAAACAGTTGCTTAACACATGCTTAATTCAAGTTTTTAGAAGTTTGATGCTAAACTTTTAACAGTTACATGGGAGTTTGTTAAAGGAACACTAGTGAATATCTGGTTAGTTAAAAATGCATGCGTTCCCTCTGTAAGGAATTCCGATTAAACTCGAGCAGTTAAGGTATCTGTTCTGGGAAACCTGGAGTTCTGGTCCAATCACAGACTTCAGCCTGAAATCTTGGGATAATATAATCTTTACTACCTGAATAAAACAGATTCCAATAACAGGAGCCTTTGTAACTGGGGTATTGCTGTATCATGTCCATCCCAGTATTGTGTGATCCTGAAGATTCATGCCTTTCAATGGTTTGGAAAAAAAAATCAAAAACAAAACTTTTTGAAAAAAATAAACCCATTAATGAGAACAGAATCATACAATCCTCTACAGATCTGTAATATTACAGCAACAATAATCCAAAAGAAATAATCAACTTGGATATCGATAGTTAAATTCAGCATAGTAAGTGGAACATAAAATAAACCTATGTTTTCCCTCTTTTATTCTTCAATCAAGGTAGTAACTGTGTTAAGCTTAAGAATTCTTTAATGAATTATAACCAGCAGTATTTTCACTCTGGGTAAAGCCTCCATTTCTCTCTTGAGGATATAAAATATAGTAATTGTTTATATGCAATTGTCCCCATTTAAAAAGTTGATATTTACAAATAGTTACCACATATTTTTTTTTTAGTTATTTCTTGGAGCAGTATTGGGCTTCCACATAATAATACAAAGAATCTTGTAAATCTCTGGACATAATTTTTGAGGCCAAAATACATTATCACAGAAGAAAATTAGACTCTTTACTCCTAAGGGAATTCTGCGCCAAAAATTTAAAAATTCTGCAACAAAATATTTGAAAATTCTGCATTTTTATTTGTCAAAATAACGCAATATAATCGTGCCCATTTCAATTTTTTTAACAGGTTTCAGAGTGGAAGCCTGTTAGTCTGTATCGGCAAAAACAACGTGGAGTCCTTGTGGCACTTTGAAACTAACAAATTTATTTGGGCATAAGCTTTCGATTTGTTTGTCTCTAAGGTACCATAAGGACTCCTCGGTGTTTCAATTATTTTGGTAACTTGACAAATAGATTTCTTACTAGGCATATTAATACAGAACTTTGTGTAATTCAATTAAATTACAATACAGAACTGTATTTCCTGCCTCTGTCAGAAGCAGTGCAAAGGCTTGGGGGAGTCTGGAGTGAACCTGGAGGGTGTTGGGTGTCGGTAGGAGATTTTTCTTTGGGGTGAGGAGGGATTGTTAGGGTGTTGGGATGCCTCCCCCATGCAGACTCTGGCTGACCCCAAGCCTCTTCCATTGTTAATCTCATCTGCCCCATCCCCGCATTCCTCATCCCCCTGGGTCTCTGTAGACTCCCTTCCCCATCACCAGGCTCAACGCTGTCACCCCACTAGCTGCTGAGCCCATTCTCCAGACTGTCCCCCCAACTAGCCCTTCTGAACCCCAGTCTGTGACACCCCCCCCCCCCAGCAGCCCTGTGTGCCCCACTCTGTCCTAACCTCACTCTGTGGGCAGGTGCTGTGATGAACTTCTCCTGCTGTGGGAATTCTGCAGCACTGAGCATAGAATTTTTGTATTTTCCCTCATAAAATTCATTTTGCCAAAGTGCTTCAGTTCTGCCTTTTGCCCACCAGAGGCTGCTGTGGCGCTAGAACAGCCATCATGAAGGCAGCTGGCTGTTCTGGTGCCCCAGTGGCCTCTGGTGGGCAAAAGGCAGAACTGCAGCACATCTTAGGCGACATAGATTTTATGTGGGAAAATACAAAATTATGGGAGACAGAGGAATTCTGTGCATCCGCAGATATGCAGAATTTCCCCAGGAGTATCTCTTTATGAACCTCAGAAGGATAGCTAAATTGAGGTACTGCTTAATTTTTTTCAAACACATTTATTAGTAAAAGGTAATCTTGGTGGAAAAAATTATTCTCTTTTATAATAAACATATTAATGTAATATCCTAATAATGTATGGGATATTTAAATCTTTTGAAGTAACATAATGCTGGATAAAAATGGAGCTTTTAATTGGCCGTTACCGATGTCATGGCTTTATGAATAATACTCAGATAAGTCACTTCTGCCGTAAGTCATGACAAAGTTGGTTTCTAGGGGGTTATCACTTTTCTTGGGTGGCTGAACTGCTAAGGCTGCTCCCATCACCCTTGAAACAGTAATCCCCCAGACTTGCTCTGTTCGTGTCTTATTGCTTAAGTAGCTTTCTTTGCCGTCCAGAGGTATGGGTGAAATGTGGCTCCATCAGCTGGACTAGAAAGTTTTTTTTTTTTTTTTTTAAATTCCACATAAAAGGGCAGAATAAAGTTGACTATATAATAAAATCCTTGTTTGTTAAAAGGTCCTGGATAAAGCAGAGCAGCTGAGGGAAATGGAGGCAAATATGTTGCCAGGGTTTCTTAGACTACAAGAAATGGTAAGTAACTGAGTAAAGTATTTTTAATGTATATTTCATAGAAGTTAAAGATAAATACTGTCTAGATGATCTAATACCCTGTCTCACTACCAGTGAACTCCCTAGAGAAGTTTGGGTATAACTTTTTTTTTTTCTTCTGAAAGTTGTAATTTTTTGCAGAATTTTGGTCAGCGGCAGAACTTAAATCAGAATTTAAACATCACGGTCTTTCTTCTTGTGCTCTGTTTTATTCCATTTAATAATATGTTGTCCTGTAAATCAGCTCTTTTATGCATTCTTTTGAAGCTGCTTCCACTGTACACTGCATCTTCTAAAATATGTATTGCTTTGAGATTATTCTACCACTCTTCATCAAGGTTTTTTAATAATTGCCAAAGCAAGTATAAAATCTTGGAAGGACTGTAAGCTATATAAGGAGCAACTTCTAACTGGAAAAAAAACTTAGCATAGCTCAGTTCCTACTGTCTTTGGTTAAACGGTAGCACACTCTTAAAGCTTGGCAACTGGCTGTGTGGGGGGTGCAAACCCTCCTGAAACAGCTGCTTTAGTGGGAGCTAAACCCAAGTGTAGCGAGTGTGGGGTTGGACAGATGAACCACATTCCCAGGTGTTTGTTTTCTTGCAATTTCTCCAACAGTGTCTGAGAACCCTTTGTGATGGCCCTCCTGGAGACTGGTGCAGGGACTCTTGGAACATTGGTTATGCAATTATGGCTAGCCCTGTTTTCATCACTAGCAGGGGCTCTCTGACTTTTGGTGTGTGTGTGACAGCCTCTTAAGAGTCTACCCTGTTGCAATATGGCAAAGGCGTTACTCTTTTGGGATTTTGTTTGGGATCGGAACAGAATATATTTTTCCGCTGCTCTTGCTTCTGATTTAGGAAAGGACTGGACTTGAGTTAAAGCCCATTGAAGTTAGTGGGAGCCTTTCCGTTGTCTGTTGGGCTGTGTTGTTTTGTGAAAGTGACTTTTCCACTGGCGGTGGAAAGCTGTAGCATCTTGATGTGCTTGAGTTAGTGGATGGGGCAGTTTGTAGCTATATGTTGATCTTGGTGGCAAGACACTTCTGTGGGTGCGTGTCAGTGTCATTCACTTTCTGCCTCATGTTTTCTTAGCAAATAACTTGTTCAAAGACCTTGTGTAAAATAAATGAAAAATGTGGTGATTTACATTTTAATATTTTTTTTTTTAATTGCTGATTAATTTGCAGCAGTAGAGGTTGATTAGAGAAGCATATCAATCCTCTTGCCTGTGATGGGGCAATATTTAGGTGATTCATAAGCACTGGAAAATAAATAGGTTGTTTCACCTTTTCCTTAAAGAATATATCTTTGTGCAAGATGGAAACTGTATCCTGAATCATTACACATCAGCCTATTGTAAATCTGTTTTATTATTTTTGAAGCTACCAAGAAACAGCAATGTATGTAAGGAAGAACTGTGTGCTCTATGCTTTTTCTGATAATCTATGTGCCAGTATTCTGTTGCACTTTCTGGAATCCATGTGCCACACTACTTTACTTTTCTGTTGTTTACTCACATCAGTGGTTCTTAATTTCTGGTGATTTTTATATTGTGGAAGTAACCTAAGGAAACAAGCTTTTTTTTACTTTTAAACTTATGGGCTGCTTCAAAACTCTGAAATCTCTTCACGGAAGAACCATACTTGAAGGCATCGCTCTTTACTGCTGAGTTTATAGTACAGTTGCAAAAAGACCTGCAGAGATTAAAGAATGTAGCATTATATTTGTATGGTATAAGCTCCAGAATATTTTGAGGATTGATCGGTTTACCTTAACCATGTAGTCTTAAAGATGCCACAGGACTCTGTTGCTTTTTAAAGACTAACAGATGTATTGGAGCATAAGCTTTCATGGGTGAATACCTACTTCGTCAGACGCATGTAGTCTTTGTTCACTGAGCAAAATCTTTCCTAACAGTAATGATAGATGAAGATGACCCCCCCAAGGACGTGTGGAATAATGGAATTGCGCATTCTATTAAAATTGTATATTATAAAATGTGAATACGCTGGCCTGTTTTTTCTCTTTGTAAGCTCTCAGATATTTAAAAAAAAAAATAAATGGGACATCAGAAATATTTTTCTCATTCTTAAATAAATTGTGGGAACTGTGTAAAAGAAGAATATTTCCATATGAAAAATAAGGAATTTGTTACCTATAGACCCAACTTAATATTAAGTTGGACCTTGCATATTGCCACAGACTTTGCTGAAGTGATGGTATAGTTACTTACCAGTCATAACCACGTTTAAGATTGCAAAGCAATCAATTAAGTACAGAGCTAACTTTGTAGTGGCATGAGTCAGATGACCTTTATAAATTAAGCCTGAAGTGTGTTCCCTTCACAAAATATTGGTCCTCCTTTACCTCCTCAACTCTTACTATACAATCTCCTAATGAAATTCTGGATTTAATTATTGAAGTGAAATGTTGGCTTAATTTTGGGAAGGGAAGCAACTTCATATTGCCTGGTACCCCAGGTCTCTAGTAGCTTAAATGTCAATTAAATGGCAAGAGATATACAGGAATCCCAGATAATTATGAAAATCTGCAAATGTATGAGCTCCTTGATTAGGCCACCAAAAGACTTATTAATATGCTAATAATTTGTTAAACACTAAATTTGATGAAATTCTTCAAATGAAAAATCCTAACAATCGTTCTTCTGATTAATATTTTAACATGCAAGGTGACCTTTTCCCTCTTTCTCTCTTACAGACAGACAGAAATGTCACTGTTATTTTCCTTAGTGAAATTGTGTGGGAACTGTTTCGTCCAAACACTGGATGCTTGGAGCCATTCACCTTGTATTTTCCTGACTACAGCATAGGTAATTTAATCTACTTTTTTGTTGTTGAATGAATAATATTAGTACTTTGCATAAAGGACTTTCCATCTAAGCATTTCAAACACTTAGTTTTTTGTTAAGCAGTGAGAGTAGGTTGAAGCTTCAGCTTTAAATCAGTTAGAAAATGTGACAGTTGTGTATGCTGGTTACTAGAATCCAGAAGGCAGTGTTTTGTTTTTTTTAATAACTATAGTGGCTTTGGTAAAATTACAAGCTCTATATTCCCAATCACCCTGTACTTAGGATTCAGAGACTCCCTCCCTCATATTCATCTAGATTTCCAATATGGATCCCCTGTCTCAAACCACACCCTGCATGCTAACTAGTGAACTACACAGCAGGGTCAGAGACTCCAGCCTTCTCCTGTCTTCCATTTTCCTCTAGGGAACACCCATCACACATTTTGCTTTTGCATGCAGTCTGAGAACATACCACCCCTTAACTATTATGCCACTTTAGTCTGCAAAGCCCAATCTACCTCCTCCATTATGACTAGAAATCCCATTTTATTTCTTTAAGAATTGTTTCTGGGGATCCCCATTCGTGAGATGCACATGGCCCTCATAGGAAGAGCTCAGCCAGCTGATGGAAGTACAAGAGTATCTTTGGAGATCTGAATTTCTCCCCCACAGCTGTGGTTAGCTGTAGATGTCGAGACTGTTTCTATATCCTTTGCCATTTTGGCAGCATATTGTTTAAAACTTTTCTTGTAATTAGTTGTCAGTAAAGTTAGTGTGATTTAGTGTTGTGATGGTGTGTAAGTTTAGGTGTGTGGGTTGGCTTTTTTTTTTTATTTTATTTTTTTTATTTTTTTTATGTTGAGGCAACCAGACCATTTTTGGTTCTGTTACCCCTACTGATAGGGTTTTCTTTTTGATGTTGTTTTGGGTTCTGTGGTACAGCTGATATCATTGTTTGGCTTGTGCTGCACTTAATTTTTAAAATATGATTAGTACAATAAGGCAATCGCCAGCTTTTTGGAAAAAAAAAATCAAACTTGTTTATATCCAAACAGGAAATCTACAAAAGATTCTGTCCCATTATCATCCTCCAGAATATTCTGCTGATTTCTATGCTGCGTACATTAATATTCTTCTTGGTGTCTTCTACACAGTCTGCAGGGACTTGAAAGAGCTTCGACATCTGGTGAGGGATCCTCTAGATTTATTTTTCTTGTCCAAAATCTCAAAGGCTAGATTTATTGTTCAGTCTGGATAGAGAGCATGTCATAAGCATATTGCATCAAAAGGTCCTGGGCTAGTTTAAATCAGTTAATGAGGTATGGGTGTCCTCATATCCCTGGGGGCCTGTACCAGTCTTGTCTCCAAGGAAGACCTCACCAAGGCTGTAAAGAAACAGATGTTAAAAGAAAAAGGAAAAGTCAGTCTGGCAGGAAGAAATGCTACTTGCCACCTATTTGACATTTTAAGTAAGGCTTTTGAGAGGGGGATGGCTAAAAATGAAAAGGGATGATTACCTGGATATTTCCCAGAGATAAACAGTCTGCATTGCTTTCTTCAAATGAGATTCACTATTTTTCCAGAGTCGATGTGTGTCATGTTCATTTGCTGAATACAGCAAAAATAGCTTTGTTAGTGTAAACTCTAAAAAAGTGTTTAACCTATAGAAGAGTGGAATTCAACTTTGAATAGTTGAATAGAGTCACACACCAAATAATCAATGTGACATCCTGATATTGTGAAATATTTGCATTACCATGATACAGAATTATCTTCTATTGATGTAAACCACACACTGCAAAGCAAGGATATTGCACGGTGGTTACTTTGTGATACTCCATGACTATTTAACAGAATAATCAGTAATGAATTTCATCTATTAATGAATTTAATCTAGTTCTTTTTTTAACCCTGTTATAGTCTTGGCCTTCACAACATCCTCTGGCAAGGAGTTCCACGGGTTGACAGTGTTGTGTGAAGAAATACTTCCTTTTGTTGTTTTAAACCTGCTGCCTATTAATTTCATTTGGTGACCCCTAGTTCTTGTGTTGTGAGAAGGAGTAAATAACACGTCCTTTTTTACTTTTTCCACACCAGTCATGATTTTATAGACCTCAATCATATCCCTCCCCTTAGTCGTCTCTTTTCCAAGCTGAAAAGTCCCAGTTTCATTAATCTGTCTTCATATGGAAGCGGTTCCATACTCCTAATCATTTTTGTTGCCCTTTTCTGTACCTTTTCCAATTCTAATACCTTTTTTGAGATGGTGCCACTGCATCTGCACACAGTATTCAAGATATGGGCGTACCATGAATTTATATAGAGCAATATATTTTCTGTCTTCTCTATCCCTTTGCTAAGGATTCGCAACATTGTTAGCTTTTTTGACTCCTGCTGCAGATTGAGTGGATGTTTTCAGGGAACTATCTACAATGACTCCAACCAAGATCTCTTTCTTGAGTGATAACAGCTAATTTAGACCCCGTCATTTTACAGTAACTCCTCACTTAATGTTGTAGTTATGTTCCTGAAAAATGCAACTTTAAGTGAAACTATGTTAAGCGAATCCAATTTTCCCCACAAGAATTAATGTAAATGGGTGTGTGTTTGTGTGTGTGTTAGGTTCCAGGGAATTTTTTTTTTTTTTTTTAGGCGAAAAAAAAAAATTTTAAAAAAGTAATAAAAAACTACGCGAGGGGGGGTGGGGGGTGGAGGGGAGTAGTGTGTACGTGCTGTGTGTTTACAAACATACTGTACATACAGTACTATAGTTGGGAGGTGCCCCTGCCTTATCCTACACAGGCACAGCCCACTGGCACTGGAGATGAGGCAGGCAAGGAGGCAGAAGGTGCTGTAGGCTAGGAGAAGCATATTGTGCAGCAACGGCAGCTTCCCCTACTCTGCAAGCACCAGGGGTAGGGTGGGGGGGCTCAACCCCCAGCCCGCCCACTCCCCGCCTTCCCCCAACCCCCATCCTTGACTTGCCCCTTAAACATCGCAAGCCAGCTGATTGCTGCTGGCAGGAGGGAGGGGGAGCCTGCATGCTGAGTCCTCGCTCCTCTCCCCTCCCTCCTGCCTGGGCAGTCGGCTGGCTTGCGATGTTTAGGGGGCAGGAGGGAGGGGGGAGGAGCGAGGACTTGGCATGCAGGCTCCCCTTCCCTCCCCCCCTGCCCAGGCCAATCAGCTGGCTTGCGGCGTTGGGGAGGGAGGGGGAGCCTGCACGCTGAGTCCTCACTCCTTCCCCCTTCCCTCCTGCCCCCGAAACGCCGCAAGCCAGCTGATTGCCTCAGGCGGGGGGGGAGGAAGGGGAAGGCACTGATCGGGCGGGCGGCACTGTGGGGAGAGGGGGGCGTGGGGAAGCTGCCAGCTGTGGAGAAAGCAGGCAGCCGAACAACACAAGAGTGGAGCATTGCACAACTTTAAATGAGCATGTTCCCTGATTGATCAGTAACGTAACAACGAAACAGCCTTAACTGGGACAACTTAAAGTGAGGAGTTACTGTATATGTAGAGTTGAGATTGTTTTCTAGTTTGCATTTATCAAATTTGAATTTCACCTGCCATTTTGTTGCCCAGTCACCCATTTTTGAGAGAGCCCTTTGTAACTCTTTGCAGTCTGCTTTGGACTTAACTGTCTTGAGGGCTTCCTTAGCCGAGGGTCACTGAGGGAAGTTCCAGACTTCTTGCTTGCACTTGCAATAAACTGGTGCACCTGAGCCTTAAAACATTAAATCTCATAACATCCATGTTAAGTACCGTAGCTAGTATAGCAAGTAAAAGCCAAACGTTTTTAAGAGTCCACTAATTATGCATGCCTCAAGTTTTGAATATGTAATGGATTATTCAGGTAATATCAGTTGGAGTCATGAGTGCTCGATGCCTCTGAATGTAACATTCAAGTCAAGCAGCTATGTATAAAGGCATCCCAAATTAGTGGACACTTTGAAAAATTGGGCCCAAATGACTTGCTCAGGCAATGTGAGTCATTAGGAGAGCAGGCAGCAGACCCCATGAGTCCTGACGTCCAGCCTTATCCTCTTACTTCTAGACACACTGCATAGTTTGGAAGCATATCAGGCAGATAATCTGCCTGATAGCCTCTAACAATTGTAGTTTAACTGTATGTTGTTTGTTTTAAATGAACATTGATTAAAACAGTGGATGAGAGAAAGCAGCATGACTTCATAAAGGCAGTTTTACAGTGAAGAAAACTGCCTTTGTTTCCACTGGAAATTAAATGCAAAACTTCTGTATTGTGTAGAGAATGAAAATGTAAATTTTCACATGGAAAAAAAAGCAGTACATAGGAGGCAATTAACACACTTACTTCAGCCTACATCTGGTGCATAGTTTTATAGAAACATGGTTTCTAAATTTGATCCAAAAGCTTTTCTACTGGTCCTCAGTTCTGTAAAGGTCTCCATACTCCTACTAAAAATTCTAATAGAAACAGATAACCCAAACATTGCAGCAGTGCACAGAGGATCTGAAAGTGAAATTTACTATAATTTAAAAATGAAACTGATTATTCTGTTACCATTGTCCAAGCTGAGAAAGTGAAAAGCAAACAGGTAAAGAAATGTTTTATTTTATCTGACAGTGACTTCTGTAATAAAAGTTGAAATTCTTGACTTCAGCAAAACTGATTATTTGATTGAATTAGTTTGTATTCAGATAAGTTTACATATATGTGCATACACACTTATTTTGAACAGAATATGGGAAAACCACTGAATTTCACAAAAGCTGATGTAAACGATGGCTTACGGTATAGTGTTCTAAGCTAGTTAATGGAATAATGAATACATGTTAAAATATAGAAAGCTTTAATTCTGTCTGTATCGCTATTAAAACGGATTTAATTGTTCAAGGAGTGAGATCAGATCATGATCTGCATGGCAGACTTGGGTTTTTAGGAAATGTATGCTTCATTCAATTGTCTGTCTACTTCAGTGTTCCCAAGATACCCACATGCTCCTTTGCTTTGGATATGGAATTTTTACACTTCTACTTGGCTTTCAGATTTTTATAGATTAAAAATCTAAATATAAATGATGTATGCTGTATCTTTAATGCTTGACAATCAAGCTTAATTTCTGAATTGGTAAAAGTAGCAAGACGTCTTCCATGCAGGTCTTTCAGTTAATTTTCCTCCTCCCCCTCTTTTTTTTCTCTCCCCATCCCCAAATTCTGACCAGGGTTGGGGGAGGGGGAAGAGATAGTGCTTTTGTTTTTTCCCCATATTGCCTTCTTCCTTCCCCTCCCCACGACACCAGTTTCACTGTAAAAATCACTGAGTAAAGGCAGGAAGGCCATCTTTATTCTGCATAAAACTGAATTGGCTAATAGCTAAGCTAGGCAGAGCGGAGATTTTGGCTGACTAAAGTAGAGCTGGGTGGGAAACCTTTTTTCCTATCCCACAAAAATATGTTTGCAGTTCTCTATCAGGACAAAACCAAGACCTTTCAAGTTTAGAGAGGGAAGGTGTAGGCACTCACCTAGGATGTGGGAGAGACAGGTTCAAGTTCATGATCTGCCCAATTCAGACAAAGTATAAAATGAGGGGTTTATTTCAAAATGCACTTAATCATTTAATTTTTGAATCTCTACATTTTGACTTTCATCTAACCTATGAAATATCAAATCAGTGGGTACTTGTTCAGTAATAAACTACTTCTTGGTTACTGCCAAGGAGCATGACTTGTCTTTATACAATTTCAGTGGTTCTGATTGCATAACTTGAATTAATAAAGAAATAAGAGATGATGGGGCTTTGTTGTATACAGGTCTCTTGGGCTGGGTCTACACTACAGCGGGGGTCCGACCTAAGATACGCAACTTCAGCTACGTGAATACCGTAGCTGAAGTTGAGTATTTTAGGTCGGCTTACCTGGCGGTGAGGACGCGGGAAAGTCGACTGCTGCCGCGCTGCTGCCGACTCCGCTGCCGCCTCTTGCCGAGGTGGATTTCCGGAGTCGACGGCAGAGCGATCAGGGATCGATTTTACCGCGTCTTCACTAGACGCGGTAAGTCGATCCCCGATAGACCGATTGCTACCCGCCGGATCGGCGGGTAGTGAAGACATGCCCTTGATCTTTAACCATGCAATGATCTCAAAACTCAAATGAGCTAAAGTAGTATAGACAATAGTAGCTAAAAGGATCAAGATCACAACCCCGTCTTTTTTTCCCCCATATCTGTACATATAGCGGTCTTAGTAAACTATTGTGTACTATGTATGTTTCACTGATAAAAATTGAAAACTCAGCAAGACAAAATGCAGAAGATTCATGCTAGAGCGTAAAGTCAAGTTAGAAGCGGTCTTTTTCTTAAGAATATATAAATAAAAATTAGTATAAAGGATTTGTCATTATCCTCTTTTCAGTTCTCATCATGTTACATATAATGACGATAAATTACATGTGTATGTTCCCTTTAAAAAAGAAAAACCTACTACCCTGTTCACAAGATTGTTAAATGGGCTGTTCAAAGAGTGGCTTTTCACTGTAATATTAGAGTATGAAGCCACTTAATGTGTTTATTTTTTTTACTTTCTGATGTATTAAGTTTCATATTCTTATTTAAACACACATGCACACTGTATTTAAACATTACTTAGTATGTTAAGTGGTAGGTTTTTATTGACACCTAGACACTTTATGGATGGCACCTAATAAGTTATTTTCCTGGTCATCAAGCTAGGTATGTAACTCTTGGTGAGTGGGAGTAAGAAATCAGTGGGAGCAACAAAATAGTCAAGATACAACACCAGCATACACAGGATCTTGCTGAAAATATAATTTTTCTGTTAGTTTTGATAACCAGACGCTGCAATTTTAAATGCACCAGAGAAAAATAATCCAGGGTATCTTTAATGTTTGTTCTCTTGCATCCTATTAAAAGGTGCAGCATACTGAAAATAAATGTTAAGCAGTGCAAACACTTGCGGTACAGTCATTTAATTATTCTGTAAAAATTACCATAACTTAGAAGTAAAAGTGACCAATAGTGCACAAACAAGGCTGGCTAAGAAGAAAGAAGAGTCGTGAAAATAGGAGTAGAACTGCCTCACATACTACCCAGCTAGTTTCCCTAGAACTAGGTATGTCCAGCAGTCTGTACAGTGTTTTTCCTAGTCTTCCCTACGAACTTGGAGACAGGCTAGACTTGTGATCTTGTGCTGTTACTGAAGTTTTTATTCCTAATTCTCTACCTCTCAGTGCAACAAACTGCAGGATACAGGCTTCTTTTTGTAGCAGCCTTTTTTCCCTTAAAAATCCACTTAGATTTGTGTTAATTTTAGATTAGAGCCTGAGCCTGGCTGGCTCTTTGAAACCTTAAGTTCCGTGTGTGTGATATCTCTCCAGGGCTTGAGAGAAGGAGTGTATGGCTTGAGTCAACTTCCCTTTCTCCATAGGAAAAAGAGGGATAGTTGATAGGGAGAAGAGAGGAAATGGGGAGGCCAAGAAACATTCCACTTGTGTGGCACTCAAACAGCCCCATGGGAATGGGGCAGACTTCCTGCTCTGCCAGGATCCCCAGCAACAGCACCAGAGCTAAACTTTATAGGTAAAAAGTGTAAAAGTAGATGCAGTATGCTTGAAAGGATTTGCTATAGTAGTTAGGTCATTCAAGTTTGAGGGGCCGAGTCCTGCAGACGTATGTTCTTGAGCAATGGTCCCCAAACTGTGGGGCAACCCCCCAGAGGGGCACAGAGGAACATTCGGGGGGCATGGCAGGGCCCAGGCCAGCCCCCATGGATGGGAGGGAGTACCACCCAGCCCCATTTGGCCCCCTGCCGCAGCTCGGCCCTCATTCCCTCTCTGCTCCCAGGCCAGCTCTGCCTCTAGCCCCAGTTTCTCCCGCATCCTCAGTTCCACCCCCTGCTCCACCAACAGCCCAAGCTCCTGTACTGAGGAAGCCTTGGCTGTGCAGTAATGGATGGGGGGAGGGAGTAGCACAGACAGATTCCATTCAGTGGCAGATTAATAATTTTGCTGCCCCTAGGCCGGGAAATAATTGCTGCCCCGACTCCGCCCTTTTCCCACCTCCATTCCAATCCCATCCCCAAAGTCTCCGCCCCCTCCCTTCCCCTATTGGATCCTTTCCCCAAATCCCTGGCCCCGCCTCTTTCCCCCAGCGCGTGGCGTTCCCCCTCCCTCCCTCTCTGCCCTGCGAAACAGCTGTTTCGCGGCGCGAGCGCTGAGAGGGGAGAGAAACAGGACGCCGTGGCGCGCTTGCAGAGGAGGTGGAGGTGAGCTGGAGCAGGGGGGCGGGGCGCAGAGGGGAGCTTCCGCCCCTGAAAATTTGCCAGCCTAGGCAATAATACGGCGCTGATTCCATTACTGGTAAGCAGGGTGCATGACAAGAAAAGTTTGGGTACCACTGTTCTTGAGTAACTTTGCTAATGGGAGTAGTCCCGAAGTCATCAACTGGTCTACTCAATGTGAATAAAGATACTGTCTGTAAGGGTTTCAGGACCCAGTCCTACAGGCTTTCGTATGTGAAAGGTCTTTTGTATGGCATGTGTTGATGTAGATTAGTATAAATATTTTATAAGTTTCTGAACTACTCTACATATAATAGAATTTAGATTAATGCATGCTACTTTTTACTGCTGTAAATGTGTATATGATTTTTTGTATCACTAAATATTATGGTTTTGAAGCTGTATTGAAATCAGTATGTGGTTGTCTAGGTATTACTGTAAATGCTGCATAGCTGCACAGAGCTTTCTAAAGATATGGGGGCAAAGTCATTAGTTGGGAAGGTTGCTGTATTACAAAATTCTAAGTAAGCGTCACAGGGTCCACTCGCCACAAATGGCACCTCCTGCTGGCCATCCTGGGGATTAGCTCTGCCAGCTTGCACTCTCCCTCCACAATGGTTTTCTCCCACCTTGTCTCGCTCTGCTGCCCTACTCACTCCTGGGTCTGCAGCTTCCTCTGTGTGGCTTGGCCCTCTGGCCAGGCCACTAAAGTCCTCTCCTTCTGGGGAATTCACAGTTTTTTTCCAGACCTGCGGTCTGACTGGTGTCTCCAGTGCCCTAGCCCCGGGGGGCAAACTTTTTGGCCTGAGGGCCGCATCAAGTTTCGGAAATTGTATGGAGGACCGGTTAGGGGAGGCTGTGCCTCCCCAAACAGCCAGGCATGGCCCACCCCCTATCCCCCCCTGCTTCTTGCCCCCTGACAACCCCCCCCCCCAGGGCCCCTGCCCCTCCACATACCCCTGCTCCCTGTCCCCTGACCGCCCCCAGAACCCCTGCCCCCTGCCGCCCCATCCAACCCCCCTCCTTCCTGACTGGCCCCCGGGACCCCTGCACCCATTCAAACCCCCCTGTTCCTTGCCCTCTGACTGCCCCGCCCTCTATCAACACCCCCACACCCTGACCACCACCCTGAACTCCCCTGCCTTTTATCCAACCCCCCCTCCCCCGCTCCCTATTCCCTTATTGCGCTGCCTGGAGCACCGGTGGCTGGCGGCGCTACAGCCCTGCCGCCCAGCTGAATCCAGCTACGCCACTGCGCAGCACAGAGCACCCAGGTCAGGCAGCAGCTCTGCAGCTGCGCTGCCCGGCCGCCCAGAGCATTGCGCCGGTGGCGTGGTGCACTGAGGCTGCGGGGCAGGGGGAACAGCAGGGGAGGGGCCCACAGGCTGTTGTTTGCCCACCTCTGTCCTAGCCACTCCCCGGTGGCTGGTAGGAGAAGCCAGGCCCACACTTAACACTGGGTTCCAGCCCGAGAACCCTTTAACAATCAGCAACAGTCGTACCTCTTGCTGTTTTTCTAGGCTTCTTCCTGCATATCTAGCTGGCTGGCTTGCACTTGCCCCCTTCTGGGGAGTGACTGCAGCCTTTCCCAGCAGCAGCTCCCCTTTCTGCAGCCAGCTACCAGGCTTTATACAGGCGAGCCTGTCCTTAATTAGCTGCCTCCAGCCTAAATAGCTGATTGGGCCTACCTGGCTTAATTCAGCTCTTGCAGGGCTAGTGTGGGGAGTCCACCCCATCACAATTAGTAAATATCCAACTTCATAGGGTTATCCAAATTGGGAAAAGTATTTATTAGATGCCTAGGTAGAGTAGAACAAATAATTTTCATCTTAAGCAAAAATAGTTTATTTGAAAGTGGAAGAAGGGTTTCTGAAAATTGATTTTTATCATTTCTTCTCTGTATTTGCATGTAAATATAATGTATTATTGAACATATTTGCAGCACTGATGAAACAGTGAGTTTTAACAAAAAAAGGGTGAAGGAAATAAAGTTGTCTTCAGTAAGTTACTTTCTGCACTACTGGTTTAAAAAGATACAGTTGCTGTATTGAAAGTTTGTTGTTTTTTTTTTTTTTTTTTTAAATCAATATACTATAGTGAAAAGATTTTGTGGAAGTTTGTCTTTGCTTTTGTTGTGAATATCATCTTTATGTTTGTATACGTGGATATTACACTGTGAAACATTATGACCTAAGTCAGAGTGAAAACCTTGGAAGCAAAATGCCATAATTAGTAGTTGAAACATATTTTTATTCACTTTACATCACCCAGATGTGTGTTAGATGCTGTACAGTATAGACTGACCATGTCTAATACATTGTCAATTTTCTGTCTTTTTCTGCAGGCTGCACTAAATTTTACTAAATATTGTGAACCTGTAGTCAGAGGAGAAGGTAAGTGCTTTTCTTTTCTATTAGGCTGTCTCTACGTTACAAGCACTGCAGCAACACTGCCGTAGTGTAGACACTTGCTACAGCAATGGGAAGAGGTTTTTCCCATCTTTGTAGTAAATCCACCCCCTCGAGAGGTTGTAGCTAGACAGAAGAATTCTTTAATCAGCATAGCAGTGTGTATGTCAGGGCTTAGGCCAGCTTAACTATGTCTCTCGTGGTGTACATTTTTTACACCAGTGAGTGACGTAGCTAGGTGTAGACCAGGCCTGAGTAGCAGTCCGCATTTGAAACAGTGGGGCTCAACCTGTGCCTCTTCTGGAGTGCCCCGGCTTTGATCCACTTTCCATTCACTCTGCCAATCACAGGAGTGTTGCTTTTACCGTCTAATACGGCTTCCGTATGAGAAGAGAGTAAGAAGACTGGGACAGGGTTAAAAAAAGAGCTAGATAAATTCATGTAGCATAGGTCCATCAATGGCTATTAGCCAGGATGGGCAGGGATGGTGTGCTCGCCTCTGTTTGTCAGAAGCTGGGAATGGGCGACAGAGGATGGATCACTAGGTGAATACCTGTTCTGTTTGTTCCCTCTGGGGCACCTGGCATTGGCCAGTGTCAGAAGACAGGATACTGTGCTAGATGGACCTTTGGTCTGACCCACTATGACTGTTCCTATGTTATAATGTTTTAATGCACACACTTGGACTGTAGCAGAAGCAGACTAACAAGCTTTTAGTCAGTGTTTTGTTGGAGATGAGACGGAATCTGCTGCCAAGCACTTTCCCCTCCTCTAACTGATTATTTTGTGTCTGACTCTATTCAGCTATTCAATTGAATTCCACTCTTCTATAGGTTAAACACTTTTTCAGAATTTACACTAACAAAGCTGATTTTTGCTCTATGCAGCAAATGAACGTGACACACGTCGACTCTGGAAAAATATTGAATCTCATTTGAAGAAAGCAATGCAGACTGTTTATCTCCGGGAAATATCCAGGTAAGTGTTCCTTTTTATTTTTAGCCATGTGCCTCTCAAAAGCCTTACTTAAAATGTCATATATGTGGTAAGTAGTATTTCTTCCTGCCAGATTGACTCTTCCTTTTTCTTTTAACATCAGTTTCTTTGCAGCCATAAAATACTACAACTATTTTTACTAGTGTGTCTCAGATAGGAAAATACAAACAAGTGTTCACAGTGTGTTTTTACAAGACCTTATGAAACTATTAAGTTAATGTGTGAAGTAGATTTTAAGGCAAAAAGCATATAAAACTATTTATTAACTAGACACTGAAACAGTCCTCCGCCAATGGAGATGTGATTGGTCCTTCTCCAATGCCAAGGCAAACAGGTGGACTTTGCATCATGCCTGGAAAGTCAACAACAATTCAGACTGTAGGGGGAGAGCAGTCTAAAGGAGAGGGCCCCTTATGGATAATGTTCTGTCAGCAGCTCCTCCCTTTTATAACAAAGGTCAGACATGGGTAAGGTGTTTCTGCTATCATTGGATGTGTTAAGTATGACTCAAGTGTCCTCTCTTGTTCTATAGTCTTTAATTTTTGGTATACTTAATGGGTAGGTTTTTTCAGTGTTGGGGTTTTATTATTGATTTACATTTTAATTTACAAAAATGAAAACCTCTTTTAAACATGCTTATAATCCAATAAATCCCATAATTTGATTTGGTAGGAGATAGAGAAAAAATTATAGGGTGCTTTTCAATAATTCATAACCTCTTAAACATGGAAATCCATCACCATAATATGAGGATAACTGAAATTGTCTTCTCTTTTAAAAATTGCCTCTGAAGTTCCACACTGTATCATTCATCTCTTACTATGCAAACCTCAGAATTCTTTAAGGTACTATAAATATGAGAGGCAACACACAAGCTCCTCAAAACCATCTTATTGGGGCAAGGTTTATAAATCCACTGCACCATCATTGACCCATAGTTCCTTTCTTTCCTTCACCTCCTGCTTTTATGGAACAAAAACCTTCTTCTCTTCATGGGATTATTTTATTTTTAAATAGCATTAAGAATGTATAGGTGGGTGGGTGGTGGTGAATTAAATTCTTGATCAACTTTTTATTTGGGATATGGTAATACCAGGGTACAACATACATGAGAATGACACATTAGGTGGTGCTGGTGCGGGTGTGGAACTATATATATGAAAGAAAGCATAGAGTCAAATAGAGAAACTCTTAAATGAATCAAACTGTACCTTAGAATGTCTATGGATAGAAATTCCATGCTTGAATGATAAGAGTATAGCAATAGGAAAATACTACCGACCACCTGACCAGGATGGTGATAGTGATTGTGAAATGCTGCAGGAGATTAGAGAGGCTATAGAGGTAGAAAACTCCATCATAATGGGGGATATCCGCAGTCCCTCAGTATAGGATTCTGAGATGAAGTTTTTAGACACCATTAATGACTGCTTCTTGAAGCAGCTATTTCTGGAACCCACAAGGGGAGAGGTAATTCTTGATTTAGTCCTAAGTGGAGCACAGGATCTGGTCCAAGAGGTGAATATAGCTGAACCACTTGGTAATCGCGACCAGAATATAATTAAATTTAACATCCTTGTGGGAGGGAAAATACCAAGGAATAGCACCACAGTAGCATTTAACTTTAGAAAGGGGAACTACACACAAATGAGGAAGGTAGTTAAATGGAAATTATTATGTACAGTCACAAGAGTGAAATGCCTGCAGGCTGCATGGAAACTTTTTAAAAGCATCGTAATAGAAGCTCAAATTAAATGTATACCCCCACATTAAAAACATAGAGGACCAAAAATTGCCACCATAGCTAAACAACAAAGTAAAAGAAGTGGTTAGAGGCAAAAAGGCATCCTTTAAAAACTGGAAGCTAAATCCTTTTCAGGGACTATTCTCACAAGGGTCTCTTAAGACAGGAAGTACAATCTCTTGCAGTCTTTGTGGTGATTGAATCAGTTCCACTGGATTTTATCAGGGGAGGGTTCTACTCCAGGTACTGTACTACTTGGGTTCCCAAGACGAGGAGGATGGAGACTGATTTTAGATCTCAGGACTTTGAACAGCTTCATCCTCTCTGTGATTCAGGTTAGTAACCCTGGAAGTGATCATTCTCTCTTTGGATCTCTGGGGGTTGGTCTCTCTCTCTCTCAACCTTCAAAATAAATACTTTCATATAGCTGTGCACCCTTCTCTCACATGTTTCCTGCAGTTCATTCTCGGCAAAGACTACTACCAATACTGCATCCTACCCTAGGTCTTTCAACTGCTCCAAGGGTCTTCAAAAGTGCCCTTGGCGGTAGCAACTCATCTTTGTCAGATGGGAATAATAGTCTCTCCCTACTTGGACGATGCACTCCTTTCTCGAGGTGCAGTCAGTAACCAACAGGACCCTGTCTCTTTCCCACTCCTTGGGCCTCTGCCATTCTGGACACCATTACAGCCAAAGCATATTTGCCCATGGAGAATTTTGCTATAATGTCCAGCCTCATTTCCACAATACATCAGACCCGCAAACCACAGTGAGGGTTTGCCTTCAGCTCCTGGCCACATAGCAGCCTGTATATCCATAACATCTCTTGCAAGACTACACTCCTATTGTCTTCAGGTTTGGCTATGCACAAATTGTCCAAGTGGGTGTCATACCTCAGAGGGTCATCAGCTTCTTCAATAGGTGGAAGGAGCCTCAAAAGATCTGCTTTGGGAGTTCCATTTTCATGTCCTCTCCCCACAAAGATCATCTCTATAGATGCCTCCCTAATAGGCTGGGGCACCCATTTCCAGGTCTTCACAGCTCAATGGAGACCTCTATCCAGATCAACATTTTAGAATTCAGTGCAGTCCATTACACTTGCTATCACTTCCTACCCAACATCAGGGCCACTCAGAGTAATGCTGGACAGCAGGTCTGCAATGTATTTCAAAAATCACCAAGGAAGAGCAATATCCCAGTCCTTAAGCACAGAATTAATAAAACTATGGAATTGGGGTACATATCCCACCACATAGAGATTTTAGTGATTTATCTGCTGGGACCGTAGAACACAGTTCCCACTTCCTGCTCAGGAAGTCTGCTACAGAGTGACATAGTATTTCAGAAGATCTGTCTCACCTGGGGTTCCCCAGAGAGAGATCTTTGTGACACCATCAATGTAGAGTACTGACATTTCTGTTCAAGGGGAAGGCACAGTCGCAACTTGTTGGGAGATGCCCTCCTTACTCCCTTGGCCTCACATGTCACTCTACGTTTATCCTTTAGCACTGTTGTTTCTCAAGGTCCTAAATAAGTCCACACGAGAAAGTGGTGGCCATCATCATAGTGCCATCATGGCCAAGGCAGGTATCTGATTTGCTTGTCTCTGTGACCACCTCTTCATCTTCCTCTGGCAGCAGATCTCCTCACCCAGCGGTCAGGCACTGTGACCCACCTCCGTGCCTGGCTCCTAGATGGCTCTCTAGTGTACAACAGGACTGTTCTTCAGAAGACCAAATGATACGGCTCAATAGTGGAAACCCTATGTGCAGAAATGAAGATGTTTTCAAGCCTGGTGTACCCATCAATCTGTACCTCCTCTTGAGTCTCTCCTCATGCATGTTCTCAATTACCTATAATATAATAATATATGGAGATATCCTATTATTTTATTATTATTTCCTAGAACTGGAAGGGACCCCGAAAGGTCATAGAGTCCAGTCCCCTGCCTTCACTAGCAGGACCAAGTACTGATTTTGCCCCAGATCCCTAAGTGGCCCCCTCAAGGATTGAACTCTCAACCCTGGGTTTATCAGGCCAATGCTCAAACCACTGAGCTATCCCTCCCCCTAAATTTAAAACCCCAGGCTTATCACTGAGCTCAGTTCAGGTTCACCTGGCTGCCATTACAGCTTTTCACTCCTCCCTCAAGAGGTTTTCAGGCTTTTCTCACCCAACCATTGCAAGATTCATTAAGGCTCTGTTTAACTTTGACCTATTTATGAAGAACCTGCTGCACACGGACTTCAGCTTAGTCCTGAACGCTCTGAGAAACGCCCCCATTTGAACCTACAGGGAATTGTACCCTTCTTCATTTGTCCTTTTAAGACCTCATTCCTCACAGCCATCACCTCAATCAGAAAGGTAGGGGAACTCAGAGCACTTAAAGCTGACCCACCTTACACTGTTCTATGGCAGCAAGGTGATGTTATGTCCCCATTGCTGTCTTCTGCCTAAAGCTTCATCAGAATTCCACATTAATCAGGGCATTCATCTACCAGTGTATTACCCCAAGCCTTGATCTTTGAGAGAACAAGGGAGTATCCATATGCTGGATACACAAAAATGTACCTTGGCAGGATTAAGCCCCTTGGCTTTTTCTAGACTATTTTTTTTATTTCCATAGCAGAAAGAATGAAAGGGCAAAGATTGAAAACAGATTTCAGGATGCATCCTCACCTTGTAACAAAGCCTCAAAGGTGCGTCCTCCACCTAGGGAGATTGCCTATTCCACCAGGGCTCAGTCTCCCTATCTGGTCTTACTGAAGAACATACTCATCTTGGACATTTGCAAAGCTGTCACCTGGTCTTCAGTACGTTTTCTCAACACTGTGCTCTTGTCTGTACATCAGCTCTAGAAATGGCCTTTGGCGAAGCTCTTCTTTGGCTCATACTGAATCCACCTCCTCAGCACCCTTCCCCCTCAGTTGGGGTACTCCTTGGGAATTTGCTGACATGGAGCACCCATAGGAGCAATAACTTGAAGGAGGAGAGGTTACTTACCTTGTACAGTAACTGGAGTTCTTCGAGATGTTTTGTCCGTATGGGTGCTCTACTACCCACCCTCCTTCCCCTCAGCTTCAGAGTCGTTAAGAGCACAGGAAAGGCCATATTGGATCAGACCAATGGTCCATCTAGCCCAGTATCCTGTTTTCCGACAGTGGACAGTGCCAGATGTTTCAGAGGGAATGAACAGAACGGGGCAATTATCAAGTGATCCATCCATTTTTGTCCCAGCTTCCGGCGGTTAGAGGCTTAGGAAACCCAGAGCATAGGGTTGCATTTGTGACCATCTTGGCTAATAGCCACTAGTGGATCTATTTTCCAGGGACTTATCTAATTCTTTTTTGAACCCAGTTATACTTTTGGCCCTCACAACATCCCCTGGCAACGAGTTCCACAGATTGACTGTGTGGCGTGTGAAGTAGTATTTCCTTTTGTTTAAAACAAACCTGCTGCCTGTTAATTTCATTGTGTGACCCCCTAGTTCTTGTGTTATGTGAGGGATTAAATACACTTCTTTATTCACTTTCTCCACACCATTCATGATTTTATAGACCTCTCTCATATCCCCTCTTAATCGTCTCTTTTCCAAGCTGAAAAGTCCTAGTCTTTTTACTCTCTACTCATGTGGAAGCTGTTCCATCCCCCTAATCATTTTTGTTGCCCCTCTTTGTACCTTTTCCAATTCTAATGTATCTTTTTTTGAGATGAGCGATCAGTACTGCACGCAGTATTCAAGGTGTGGGTGTACCATTTAATACCAGGCATTCAAGTTCACCCATCTTAGTATTTAGACTTCTAGCATTTATATACAAACACTTATAAAATTTTTCACTTTTTAGCTGTCTGCCATTATGTGATGTAATTGAATGGGACTCTTTTTCATTTGACTGTTTCTCTTCAGTTCCTACCTGTACTCTATCAACTTCATTCCTATCTTGTTTACTAGGATATAGAGAATTGCCATTAATAGATACTTCCCTAAGAGATGTCTCCATCCGAACTATGTGTTCCTTTGCACCTGTTGGCTTTCCCTCAGCCCTTACTTTAAAAACTCTTCTACAACCTTCTTAATTTTACATGTCAGCAATCTGGTTCCATTTTGCTTTAGGTGGAGCCAATCCTTCCTGTATAGACTCCTCCTTTCCCATTCTGTATAGACTGTGTTTGAGAAGGAACCAAAGTGGTGGCAACCCTCTCCCACCCTATATATCTTGTACCAGAGCACAAGGATGCATAGGGCACAGGTCTGGACCCGCTCACAAAATCTTGGTTCATGAGTCCATGGATCCTGATGTGGAGGACCCATAGGGACAAAACATCTTGAACGCCAGTTACTCTACAAGGTAAGTAACTTCTCTTTTTTCATTTGGATATGACAGGTATTCTTTCTTTAAACACCTGTCCTTCTTTTTTAGCTCACAGTGGGAGAGAATACAGCAGGATGATGGAGAATCTGGGCACTTGAAAGGTATCAAATAGATGCAATAATTCTAAATAGTAGTAGTTATGGTAGCAGTTATTTAGTGATGTGATTGCTGATCCCTAACAAACACTTGAATGGAATGACTTTACTGAGGCCTAGATTGTACCTCCTTCCTTGGTGCAGTACATGCCTGGATGTTGAGTCTAGGCATGAGGGGGAAATAAACCACTACTCCTATGTGCAGAAGGGTGGGGAGTAGGCTGATCTACGACTCTCCACTCGCTCTGTGCATGACCAGCAGAGATGACTGTATCTGAAGGGAAGTATGCTGCCCCTGGTAATGGGCTGACACAGCATATACCAGAGCAAAACAGGAGCCCTGGACAAAGTGTTGCTGAGAGAGGTATGTGAATCATGAGTCACAATTCCTTTCTACTGCTGCCTCTGGAGTAGTGCAGCTCTGTGCCACCACCCCTTACGCAGAACTGAGAGTCAAGTCTTAATCTGCTGTTTAGTTTTCAGTGACTCTTCAGGGAAGATTAACATAAGAACAGCCATATTGGGTCAGACCAAAGGTCTGTCTAGCCCAGTATCTTGTCTTCCGACAGTGGGCAATGCCCGATGCTTCAGAGGGAATTAACAGAACAGGTAATCATCAAGTGATCCATTCCCAGCTTCTGACAAACGGAAGCTAGGAGATTACTAAAACGTCTTCTTTGAAAAGTCCCTCTGCCATTCAGCAGTAGATTCTTGCCCAGTTCTGAATTTTTGGACCATCTTTTCCCCCAGTCTCCACCATGGTAAGACTCTTCTTTTGATAGATGCGGTATGTTCTGACTGCCTGTCAAACTGTGGTGATAGTCTATAGATAATGTGGTAGTGATCAGAGTGTGATTCAGACCTTTACTTTTTAAACAAATTTGTTACTTTTGCAGTGTGTCTGGTAAAGGGAAATAGAATCATAGGGTTATTCCTAAACCTCCTATTTTTCCCAAATGAGAGCAATACACTTATTCCTGATTAGCTCAAAAAAGAGAGATTTTGCTTAGTTACTTTCAGGATACTTTAAGCTCATGCACTAGAGGAAATGGTTTTGTAGGTAAATAACATTTCTGACATTAGCATTGTTCTTAAAGAGAAATTAATATGTAATAAACTGTACTCTGGATGTAATTAAACAAACAATTATTCAATGCATAATGCTAATCCCAGCAGGTCAGAAAGATGGAGTAGGAACACAGGCATTTCAGTATTCATCTCAGTTGCGTACAAGCAGGAGTTTCTTTTATCTGGGATTGCATTTTTTTAATTAAAATGCTGTACAAATAAAACAGCTACTTGACTGTTAGTAGAAGCTAAAAAAAATATGCCGTGCTTTCATGACTACCTGAAAAGAAATTTGTAAATAACCCTTCTCAAGTGCTCCACAATTATATTGTGAACTCTGAAATTTACACTAACTTTTAAACATGTTCCACTGGTTTGATCCTTATTTGTTAGAAGTATGAAGATTAAACCTGCATCTTTTGTTTATTTGAGCATTGACAGGTATATGCTTGGTGTTGTACAAAGCACAGAAGACAAGCTATATAGGGCAGGGAACAATCTAGATGAAAAGACAAAACTGAGCAGTCACAAAATAGACCCTCTAAGAAACTGACCTCTCCAGCCAACAGAGAAGATAAGGTAGCTTGAGCTGCTGGTCATACACATTTTAAATAAAAAAAATTAGTGACTGGAGGAAAGTGGGGAAAGAGAAAAGTGTAGAAATGGAAGGGTGAAAGGAAGGAGGAAAGATACATCATGGAATACCCTTGGTTATGTAAAATATATGTAAAATTGCAAAATGCATGTATAGTAGACTAGACCAAATGAATCAGGCTGAGTGTTTTGGAAACCTTTTCCCTTCAATCATAAATAAAATTAAAAAACCAAAATGTCCAGAAGCTGAGCTGCAGCTGAGAAACCAGCCACAGCCTGGGTGTTGATGTGTGTTCAAAGATGCAATTTGACTCCCTAGTTGGAGTCTGGCTCATTGTGGAGCTGGTCCCTTGAACAGTTTATAGCAGCCTTTAGGTCAAATCTCAATTGGGAAGCGGACAGTTTGGTTAGCTAGTGTGGATATGGCAAAATTATCAAACTGTCTTAAACCAGATTGGCCTGAAAATGTTTAAAAATGTGAGGGTTGTTTTTTTAAAACCAGTTTAGCAAATGAAGATCCCAGCTCAGATTTCATCAATGATCTGGGAACCACTATCTTCTTCTTAGTAGGGGTATTTGTCACAGTTCAGGGTAACTGGACCTGTATTCCCCCACCATGATCCAGCAAGGGCACCCCCTCTACACTTCCAGCTCTTAAGCCATCACCTGTCTTGGGTGGAGACCTCTGACTGTCTTCCTCATGACCAGGGTACTTCCAGACTGCACAGCTCCTTGCCTATACTGTCACCTCCCCAACAAATTCAGGCTGCCTAAGCCGATCTGCTTTGCTTTGCTTTTCTGTTCAGAGACAGTAAAGAATGTAATTGCCACTGTTAAACTACCACACAGCTCTTTGTAAGTAAGCACATTTATTCTTAAGGTGAAAGCATTACAAAGAAAACATTAAAAACAATAAAAAAAAAAAAACCTACACGCATAAACTTACCAGAGATCATCCCCTGACTCCAACAAGGGCTCTGGCTGGTGAACAGTCCTTTAAACCTGACCCAGGGGTTTTCCTCTTGTTACAGGTCATTATTTCTTTTGCACAGAACAAGAACACTTACTCTTATGGGGTCTCAGTAGGCCAAAGTCCTTCCAGTCCTTCCCTAAGGATCCCCGCAACCATGGACCAGAGATCCTGTCCACTTGCTGAATCAGAAAGACGGCTCTAAGTCAGTTTAAACTCAGGCTGTTATCCAAAAATCCTTTCTGTGCCTGCTGGTTCCTGGAGAATCCAGTTTGAACCAGTATATGTGAGTCTTTCTTCAGGTGGTGGCAACTCTCTGGAAGTGTTACAACCTGAGTAAATTTGCCTAATCATCACCCACTGTCCCTGGAGGGCTGTTGTCCCTGTCCTCCATGGAATTACGTACAAACCCTGTCCTACAATGATACATACATTCAATAAAGTTTCCCCTGGATATTGCAGGAAATTGTCATCTGTTGCTATATATATTTAATCTTTGTATTACCATAATGCCTGGGAGCTCTAGGGCAGTCCACCAGCAAACTGAGTGCTGGTTTTGTTTTGTTTCAGGGGTGACCCATGCATGCCACATTGTCCCACAGCACTGCCTGCTTTACTCTTGGAGTATCCGGATTGTAGCAAATATCCATCTCTGCTTACTTGCAGGAATGGATCAGGCAGAGAAGAGGAATGCTGCAGTGTGTTTGCCCTTGAGAACCAGAACAAAACTTACTAGTCTAATTTTAAACCTCTCGCGGTTAGAATGCTCCCTCAGTGACTCATAAACTGTGTTTGTTTTATAGGACTTTCTGCACATGCTCACGTAGAACTTCCTTATTACTCCAAATTCCTTCTAATAGCTGCTTACCTTGCCTCCTACAATCCTGCCAGGACAGATAAGAGGTTCTTCCTTAAGGTAACTATATTTTTTCTTACTGCTATATGCTGGAGTCGTGCATACTTCTTCACTCAGGTCAGAACTCCTTTAGGTCATTCACTTTCAGCTCTCTTTTGTATCTTATTTATTTGATTTGAACAAAACTGTGACTTTGGATCACATATTGTGGTATGTTGACAATTGTCACCTCATTACTGATGTTTAATATGAAAAATGAACTGTTTTGATCATTAAAATATGCATAATATTTATCTAGCACTATTGTGTTGCATGGCATTTGTAAGGCGACATAGTTCCCTTCCCTGAAGTATTCGTGATCCTGCAAATCAATGCGCTGGTGTGTACTATTATTCACAGTTTGAATCCCATGGAAGAGAGCAGAATTCCATGTGGGTCTAAAGAGTTTGCACTAGTATATCTGTCTGGAGAACAGAGGCCTTAATTTGATAAAATACAGGCGGCGGAGGAGAGGAAAAGGTTGCAACAAAAAGCAAAGTGAGCAGTTATGCTTACCATTTATATTAGTAGCAGTGAGGGTTTTTATATTGTAAAATGTGTAGGTGTTGTAGGCAAGGATAAGAAATGGGAGAGACTGAGAACACTTAGGGATAGAAGCTTGCTAATTCTTTAAGAAATCTCTATTTTTTTTCCTCAGTCTCAAAACCTATAAATATATTGTAGCTTAAAATATGGACATGTACTGGAGTCCTTAATGATAATATACTAATTAAGTAATGAACTTGGACATGGTGTTCATTTTTATGGTGGTTATATGTCCCTATAATGAAAACTGTCAATGTTTCACATTGGTCTGTATCGTTTTGTATGTACTTCAGAAGAGGAGAGAATTATTTGTAATGATAACTTACAGATCTGTGTATATAGCCAAATATTTCATTTCTAACATTTGGCAAGAGAAATATCACTGGAAGAACTTATTTGCTGAATAATGACTCCACTGTTTCAACTTCTGATTTCATGCTGACTTCTCTCTCTCCTCAGGATCTAAATTTAACGGTGGGAAATGAGTCAACAAAAGCATTTATTTTATTTATATATACATAAAAAAGCAAGGAAATTAAGTGGTGAAAAGATATAGCTTTATTTATCCCCTTCATTGTAGCATGTCTGAAATCAGGCTCCAGTCCTTCAGTCCCTGTGCATGGGCATACTACTGTTCCTCTTCAGTGCAGTGAAATGCATAGTTGGGACATGCGCCTCAAAGACCTTCGAAGTGTGAGGCCATGTAATAAATTTCATGGCTTTTTAATTAGGCAAGTTAAATATCTTGATAAAGTATGTGTAGAGGGGCAGACTCACCCCTGCAGCGCCTCCTGCTGGTCTTTTCTGGGAATTAGCTCTTCCAGCGTCCTGGAGCGCCCCCTGTAGGCCGGTGATCCGCCTGTCCTCTGGCCCCCATGTCCCTCCTGGACCCCGGTGCCCTTTTATCTGGGGTGCTGCCCCCTGGCAGTACACCCCTCAGTACTAGGGTCTCCCCTCCCCAGGGAACTCCCACCCACTATCCCTATCTCGCCTCAGAATAAGGTCACTGCCAGTCACCAACTAGCCCCCGCTCCCTGGGACAGACTGCAGTATAGGCCACTCATCACAGGCAAGGTTGGGATTTGGACCTGCTGCCTTGGCCTACCCATGGGCTGCCCTCTGCAACCCCCAGTACCTTTTGGCCTCCTACTAGGCTGCAGCCTGGGGCTATCCGGGCTGGAGCTCCTCAGCCTTTCCCCAGCCCTGCTCCACCCAGATACTCTGTCTTAGCTCCCTGCAGCCAGGCCCTTCTCTCTCTGAGTGCAGAGAGAAACTGCTGAGCTCCTGGCTCCCAGCCTTTTTATATAGGCCAGCTGTGGCCTGATTGGGGCATGGCCCAGCTGTGGCTACTTCCCCAATCGGCCCAGCTTTTAGAGCTGCAGCCCTCTGCCAGGGCTATTTTAAGCCCTTCCAGGCAGGAGCAGGGTAACCACCCCGCTACAGTATGAATAATCACCATTTCTACCACAAGTATTGCCTGAGAGCACTTAATCAGGTGTTAAGGCCAAGTTCACAAATTACCAATATCTCAAAAGCCAGAACAAATAGCACTTTGGGAGAAGCTTTCTAATCCTGTGTCTGTGGCTCCTGGGAGCTGTAGAAGGAGAACTTACTGTTGTTGGAGTTCTAATGAGATCTGGTGGGATTTGGGCAAAAAACTTTATATTGGAGTCATTAAACAAAGTCTCATAATCAGTGAAATAGGTGTGAACCAAAGGAATTTTGTTGAACCATTAACCTAAAGGCGATACTACTATTATTAAAATAGTTACCACTGTAGACAAATTGAAGTAATGTTGCAAATTAAAAGCAGCAGAATGTTGACAAACAATTACAACAACAAAATAATAAATCTACAGTGATGTCATGAGTTGAAAGAAATTCCAGTACAATGTAACATAAGAGATTCTAAGGGAAAAATTGCAAAACATTTTAAGTGCCCTTTTGAAAAAGGATAACAGTTGACAGGAAGTCACCGTTTTGTGCAAAGTAGGTCTGAAAGAAAAAAATAGTCTTGTTCTATTGCATACCATATTGAAAATCTGCTTAGAATTTATTTTAAGAAGTTTGTACATGTGTATTTTATACTTTATACTAATGCTAAAAAGGATGCCTATCTATGTACTGTGAGCAGCCTTGACATAATTTAAAAATACATTACACACTGTTAAACTGCAGCAGTATAATTCATGTAACCCATCACCCACAATCCAGGTAATTTAAAAACTCCAATTATCTTTCCCTTACCCCTCCAACAATTCCTTATTTCTTCCTCAGCCCCTGTGCTTTGCCCTTCCTTGATCCAATCCTTTCTCCCACAACACAATCCTTCTAGATCAGGGGTCTCAAACTCAAATGACCAGGAGGGCCACATGAGGACTAGTTCATTGGCCCGAGGGCCGCATCACTGACATCCTCCCCCTCGCTGCCCCCGGCCCTGCCCCCATTCCAACCCCTTCCCCGAAGTCCCCACCCCAACACTGCCCCCTCCCTGCCCCCAGAGGGCACAGGAGGGGTGTGGTGGGGGCTCAGGGCAGGGAGTTGGGGTGCGGGGTGCAGGAGGGAGTGTGGGATGTGGCAGAGGGTTGGGGCTCAGGGCAGGGGGTTGGGGGTGCAGAAGGGGTGTGGGATGCAGCAGGGGGCTTAGGGCAGGGGATTGGGGTGCAGGCAGGGGGCTCAGGGCAGGGAGTTGGGGGGCGAGGTTCAGGAGGGCTTTGGGCTCCGGGGTGGCAGTGGCACACACCGGGGCCAGGGCAGGCTGCTTGCCTGCCCTGGCCCCAGCCCTGCACCGCTCTGCTCAGCAGCTGGAACCACGTCCCTGCGGCCCCTGGGGGGGGGGACCATGCAGGGCTTGGCGTGCTGCTTGCCGTTCCTCCAGGTACCACCCCCGAAGCTCCCATTGGCCGCGGTTCCCAGTTCCTGGCAAATGGGAGCTGCGGGGGGCGGGCGGTGCCTGGAAACCAGGGCAACACACGGAGCCCTCTGCTCTCCCCTCCCACGCCTCGGCCGCAGGGATGTGATGCCAGCTGCTTCAGGGAGCGGCGCAGGGCTCGAGAGGGGCAATCCTGCGGCTGTAGTTTGCCCATCCCTGGCCTGGAGGTAGGCTGGGGGGCGCGCGGGCCGCAGGAAATAGCCCCGCGGGCCGTGTGTTTGAGACCCCTGCTCTAGATGAATCTTATCTGCTCACAGGGCATCAGTTACTTTCTTTATTCCAATTACATTGTTACCTGTCTACCCCTGACATGACCTTCACATCCTGTATCTTGGCTTCTTTTTGACACTTTATTGCTTTATTTTGTGGGTATCCTGTTGTCATCTTAGATATAAACCAAAGAAAACTGAGTGCACCTACATCATTTTTGAAGTCTATACAAGGAAAACTGGTTGCATTTAAAAATAAGTGGCAGCTGCTTTCCCATTTCTAGAAAGACAAAGGAACTAACAATGAAACACCCTTTGGCCTTTTCTAAAGCTGATTTTGAGGAGGGGGTGTGGTGGAAGGAGAGTCATAGAAATGGCTCTCTGCCTCTTCTGATTAGTGTCATGTTAATTATTTTCTGATGGCTAAGTATTTAATTTTCTGATTTTTAAATTTATACATTTCCCCCAACAAACCACTTTACAAACAGCAACACTGCAGGGTGAAAGTTTTCACCCAGTATTCACACAGTTCAGATATGAGGGAGCCAAGAAGTAATGCCTAGAGTATGTTAGGATATTAAGTGTTAGGTACCGAATAAGCAGTATTGCTGTTAAGGCCAAAGATAACTAATTGGCATGTGATAAGTAAGCAGAACCATGGTAGTAGTACATTACTATAAATGTGTAATGAATAGTTGTATGTTAGTTAATTTTTTTTTCACCCTATTCAAGTTGTATAACATTATTGTAACTTCTTGCTATGTCATATTTGCTCATATTTTGCTTCTGTGTTTACAGCATCATGGGAAAATCAAGAAGACAAACTTTCTGAAAAAACATGAAAAGGTATTTATTTAGCTTTCAATCCTTATTCACAACTAAATGCTGCTTTCTCATGTAGTAGTGGCTATATATTTTTCCTTCCCCACCTGAATGTATGATTTAAAAAGCATACAAGAGCATTGCATGCTATAATCTCTAGTGCATTGGTTTATTTGATATTTACTTTTCATACAAGGCATTGTTGTCATTATTAATGGACATATTTTTATTTTAAGATGCCACGCCCTACATTTAATTACAATCATGTAGTGCAGATCACTTCTGGTCTTATTAGATAATAACATCAATTTGTACGTTTCTCATGTTTCTACTTTTTTAAACCAATACCACATTTTCTTCAGATGTGAAGTGGTGCAGTGGTTTTGCTTATAAAAAAAAATACTGATGTGGCTCATTATATTAGAAAAGCAGAGACCTTTTGCTTCATCCTCTTTTATGTCTGAAACTAAGTTTAAACTTTATAGGCAAAATTCTGTGCACATAGAATGTGAGAGGAACAATAGGCCAAAATCTTCAAATCTGGTGCCTCAAGTTTGGCTCCCAAATCCATATTTAGGTATAAAGTTAACTGAATAGGCACTAATGTGTTAGCTAAATATGGGACTTGGTATTTAGAAGGTCATAGTTAGGGTTATGTTTATGTCGCGGAGATCATGGAAGTCATGGAATCTGTGACTTCTAGAGACCTCCATGACATTCTCTGCTTCAGCCCCAGGGGCTGCAGGACTCTGGAGCTGACAGCCCACAGTGGGGCCCTGGCAGGGTTCTAGCAACAGGCAACAGAAGCAACAAGCGACAGGGGGCCCCCTGCAAAGTTCCAGCCACAGGTGACAGACTCCTGAAGGGGCCCTCCTCAGGGTTCCAGCGACAGGTGACAGCCTCGCATGGAGGGAGGGGGACGCCTCGGGTGAGCGGCTGGGGTGTCCTATTTTCTCTCCAGGGTGACCATATTTCCCAAAGCCCCAGCCGCCGTGGGCAGAGGGGGAACCCCACAGCTCCCAGCCACTACTGTGGTGGTAGAAACCATGGAACTGCAGCAGCAAAAGTCACAGACAGGTCACGGCTTCCGTGAATTTTTGTTTATTGCCCGTGACCTGCCCATGACTTTTAGTAAAAATAACCATGACAAAATCTTAGCCTTAGTCATAGTACCCATAAACCCCCCCACTAAGGTCAGTTAGATGTACAGTAGCTTTGAAAATCAGACCACTTTTAGGTGCCTAAATGTGGATTTAGGAGCCTAACTTTAGTCACCCAGGGTTAAAGTTTGACTGCTTGTCTGTTGTGTGTAAGGAAAATGTATGTTCCTTAAGGAAATTTGTAATTATTCCATCAGGACAAAGGATTTAAAGAATAGTGGCCAAACCCTTTACCCAAATAAGTTGTAACTGTATGGATTTCAGTGGAGTTGCACCAGTGTATGCCAGAAGAGACTTTGATCCTCTGATTGAGTAGCATATGTGTAAAGTGGTATATTTAAAAAAAGAAATTCTTAATCCACATAATTTCACTTGTGTCTAGAATGATGTGAAATGTTAAGAAACTTATTTATATTAACATCTGTGTTGTAAATCTTGAACTCCAGAGGATTTTCAAAGATTCTAATTATTTTCAGGACTGTTCTCTACCCTGAAAAACATCCACATCTCAAGTTGTGATCACAGGTCTTGTGGGAGGGAAAGGGGAACAGAAATGAATAAATACTGCATCACAGCAAAAATCTTCCTCCTTTCTCTCCAGCTGCAAGAGGTGCCTTGCTCCCTTTCCTATAGGCAATAATATCTCACTTAAGGTGGCAAGATGGGGAAAGACAGGAACACAAAGCAACTGGATAACCAGAGATTTGATGATGGGACATAGAGCCCTCCAGCTCATGGTCTCTATTTTGAATTGGATTCAGACTGACTGACTGTGACCAAGGGTTAGCACCATTAGCCTGGTAGTTTATTGGAGATGGATTGATATGTCTGTCCAATCCCTAGTAGACAGATGTACTTGCGTTTAAAAAAAGATTGTTTTTATTTATTATATTATTTTATTTTTATTTATTTATTTAAGCACCCACGGGTGCTGTGCAAACACATAGTAAGATGTGGTCCGTGCCCCCCCAAAATTTACAATCTAATGTAAAACCAGATGCAAAAAGTGAGTGTAACATGGAGTAAGAAGAGGAAGGAGATCAATGCAACAGTGATAAGGTCATGCAGAGACATAAACTAGTTAGTGCACAAATTGCTGATTCTGAGTCAATTACCTTTTTCTGTTTTGTTTTTTACAAATTCTTTTCCTATTTCCAATTTTTTTTAAATAAAGCCCCTGCCTGTTTCTGTTTTCAGTTATTTAAACCTCTGCTTACTTCCTGGGTTTTTTAGCCTCCGTCTGTTCAGTTGTCACTAACTGACACACACTTATTAGCAGTATTAGCATGCAGATTTAAACTTCTCTATGACTGCATCTGTACCACAAGCTAGAGGTGTGGTTCCCAGCTCTCATAACATACTTGCACTACCTCTCATCGAGTACAAACAAGCCTGAAACTGGTCAGGACGTACTTGGCATGTGACACCCAGAGTTGTGAGGCACCTTCCCTTATCACGAGGAAGCCTTATCTGTGCCTACTGGAGGTCAGTTCCCCAACACCATCAGCCTCTGGCAATACAAGCACTGCCTTCCAGGCCTCTGCAAGCCCTGCTCTCTCTTTACAGGTTAACGATAAGGTATATTGCAACCCCTGAACACTACAAGTGTCCTCCTGGAGCATCTGCACCTGTTCCACTGGACAGTCTCTGAATTCACAGATCCACTGCTCCCAAAGGAATAGTGCAGACCAGTTATATCTCAGGATCACCGCTCTGCTCAACACACGGTACTTATATATGTTTGTAGGAAAAACAAGACATTAAGAAAGGAATACAGACTCAAGCAGAAGCAAGTAGAATTAATGGAAACAAATGGTTACATATAAAATCATAACACACTTTCTAGAGCCTATATTTAACTAAAAAGACATAGAATAAAAATTCACCCAAAATCCTTCTGACCTATTACAGCCAGGCTTGGCTGTGATCTTCCATTCATGAGATAAGTCACATTGTCCTCTTTGCAGTCCCAGATATATCAAAATAGCTTTTTGATCATTATTCATAATCAGGGCATCCCCTGCTGATTGTTCTTCCCTGTGGTCTCCCTCTTGTTGACCTTGCAGTCTTTTAATTAGCATCTGGCTCCGCATGCTGATAGGTTTACCTTGTGAGAGAGACAATTCACACTTGACCAAACAAAAAGAGATGAGTCTCCAATCCCCTACCTGAATGGAATTTTTGCTCATTCATATATTTCACAATGACTAAAATGACCAGTGTGTTGAGACCTCACATGCCACCCTTTGGCACTCTTTTGGAGATGTCAGATGCAGTGGAACCTTCTAAACCTTATTCACCCCTCTGCCAGTTGACACCAAGAGGTCCCTGGGTCACAGCATGGCTAAGATGTGCTGCTGCTGCTGCCTACACTATTGCGATTTCACCATAGTTAATGTTCTTGTTAGCTCAGTGATTGTCTACGCAAGCTGGGAATCACACCCCTAGCACGTAGTGTAGACATAGCGTAAGTGTTTGTTACCTTACAGGAGGGTTGAGGCACATGAGTAGTGTGGATTGAAGAAGCTTTCGTTGCTGCCCACAACGTGATAAATGACTTTCAGATAAATAGAGGACTCTTAGAAGTTTGTGTGGTTAATTTAGCACTTGTCATGACCACAAAACATATTTTTTTAAAGTAAGAATTCTTTCTCTCGAATTAAAATGAACCTTGTGAATAACTATTTACATTGAACATGTACCTAAAACAATTTTTTAAAGTGTTTTTTTTTTTTTTTTTGGCTAGCCACCCTTGAGTCAGACTGCAAGCCTTGCTTTGCTGGTATAGGAAGTTGCTCCTAAGACTTGAATGATCCAATTCCTGGGATTCAAGTTACTTCCTTGCAATATTCAGCTTCAAAGTAAGATTGATTCTAATTAGAATCCCTGATTGGAGCCCCTAAAAGTATTCTGCATAATTCCATTTATTCGAATTGAGAAAACATCTTTACTGAATGGAAAATAGCTTAGAGTTGAATGTGTTCCCTTGATACTAAACTCCAGCTCCTGGGTACTGAGATGGTTCCATATAAGAAACTGAGAAGTGCATCCTAGGGTTTAATCTGTATTTAATCTGATCTATGCAATACTTTAAGTGGCTCTCCGGAGCAATTGCGGTATCCTGTTTCTCACATTACATTTCACATATTACTGTTCCTTGACCTAGTCACTTACATAGGTGTAAACATTGGCTGGTAGGTATTCCCATTTTACAGGTGAGGAAAGTGAGACACAAAGATCGAAGGCCAAATCTCTGATGTAAACTCATCATGGAGGTTCACTGACGGTAGTTGTTTTGCTAGTTTACACCAGCAAAGAATTTTGCCGTAAGTGGCTTATCTAAAGGCACTAGGAGTCGGGGCAGAACCAGGCTAAAAAGTTAGGAGATCTTGATTCCTAATTCATTATTCAGTCTGTTAGGCCATAATTTTTTTTCTACAACAAGCAAACCTCCCACTTCTGCTTATATAAGACATACCCCTTTCTAGATAACTGATGGAGTGATACTGCCCCAGTTCACTGCAAGCCCTACTGAGAGTTCTGCGAGATAGAGCTCCAACTGCAGCATCTCCCTAAGCATACTTTGTATGTTCAAGCATGTCAGGTGTTGTCTTTGACACTGAGGCCTGGTCTCCCCTGGGGGGGGGGGGGGGGGAAGATCGATCTAAGATACGCAACTTCAGCTACGAGAATAGCGGGTAGTGTAGACGTACCCTGAGTTTTCTATTGACTTTTGGTGCTGTACCTCTCATTCAGTTCCAGTGTGATTGACACAACAGGAGTCTATCTTCCAATTTAAAATGCCCCCTCTGTCAGCTGAGGGAGTTCAAACATGTTGGCTGGCTCAGAAAAGAGAGAACTATA